CGGTTGATGCACGCCCTCAACGGGAACATCAACGGCTGGTGGGGCCTGGCGGCTGCAGCGTCGGCGCCGATTGCCTTGCAGTTGCACCGCAGGGCTGTGCATGTTGTCGAGGACTCTATGCACGCGGTTGCAGCGATTTCGGCCGACGTGGTCGAGGAAATCGGTCACGGGGCGAGGCGGGCCGTGTGGGTCGCCGGAACAGCCATCACTCTCGTGGTAGTGATCTTGTGCGGTGCTGTTCTGTGGTACGTGAGTCGTGCCGTTGCCAATCGCATTGCGCATTTGCGACATGGCAACACCGCGGCCCCTGAGGCGCGGCTGTCTCAACTCCTTGGCTCTGAAGCGACGTTTGAGGTCGCGAGCACCAAGAAAGGGGTGACCCATAAGGTTTGGGTGCGCCTCAATGAGGAGGCAGCTGCCTGTGGCTGCCGTGCTTACCTGGCAGAGGGACGCTGCGGGCATTGCGATGCCGCAATGGACACCGCTCGTTCCCTAGGGTTTTTGCACGCGGCCCAGCGAGGCGCGGGTCCTGCGCTCGCAGACTCCATTCGGAGTACCGCCTCCGATGCCCTAGCTAAGGGTAAGGTGGTGTTGGGTTTGGGGAACAGTGAAGGGTGTTTCTCCCAACTTGCGGCCAAGAGCCGCGGGCTCTCCTGCTTTCAGGGGCTCGCGGGTCGTGACCTGGCCGCGGCCCCAGCAGATGGAGCGAGCGCCCCCCACGCTCAGTCCGGCTCCGTGCAACGTGCCGCCACTGCCACTGTGGCGCGCACACCCAGCCGGAGGAACAAGGGCCCAGTTCCCGCTAGGAGTTCTCCAGTCAAAGAAGCGGAATTCCTTGCGGGCGGGCCATACGTTCAGGCCGCCCAAACGCTGCTTGGGTCTGGAGCAGCAGAGGATGTGATCTACATCCGGGCTTACAGCTTAGATTGCCCATCCTGCATCGAGGCAATCGAAGCGTCGCTTGGCAAGGGCGCAAGCGTTCGGATCGTCGCCGACATGGGACAATGCCACCGCACCAAGCTTCAGTGGCAAGCGTTGAAACGCTTGGCGGCCGCAGGTGCCGAGGTGAAGGTGGGTTGCGGCACATCCGTGCGCGACGCCTATGCTCGCGACGGCCGCGGGGCTAAGGTAGGCACCGGGATTCAAGGGCTGCGCCATGCCAAAGCCCTTTGCCTACTGCGGCCTGATGGCGCGGTGGTGCTGATTGGGAGCCTCAATTTTACCACAAGCAGCAAGGCCAATGCGGAGGCAGGGCTTAGGCTTGAGGTCCCCAAGACGCACTCAGTCGTGCAGTCCTACATCGAGGATTTCCAGAGGGTGTCGGCTGAGGCATTCTCCCTCGATGAGGCGGTCGCAAAGCGCCCTCAGTTGGAGCGAGCCAGTAGCTCCAACGTTGCTGGCATCGCCGCTCGTGCCCCCAACACTGCTCCACAGGGTATCGAGTAGGCTGCGGCCAGTCGGCGCGGCGTGGAATGGTTTCCACGCGATTTCTTAGGCATCGCAGCGCGGCACGCTGTCGAGCCTCTTTTGATTGTGTTTTGCTTGCGGGCGAAGAGCCGCGGCAGGGGTTTTCCCTGCGCAGGGGTTTTCCCTGCCCATTTTGCATTCCCCGCACTTTTCTCCTCCGCCCTGCCTGTGGCCCCTCGTGCCGAGGGTGCTCTTTTGCAGGTGCTGCGGACCGTGTCCTGGTCGCGGCAATGCGCTCGCCGAAGCGCGTGTGAGTTGCATTGCCTGCGGCACGAGCCATGTGCGCGGCTCTCACTGAGTCTGGTAGCCCGTAGGGTAGTTCTGGATAGGTGAGTAGCCGTAGCCGTAGCTTAGGGCCGGTAGTGTGTACAGTGTACCATTTGTCCCATAGCTTTGCACTAGCAGCGTAAAGACCTGCCCAGTACTCTGGAGCCTCGCCTGCCTGCACAAAGGTGAGCGCTCGCGACTTGGGGTGGTTTAGGGTCGTAGAGGGCTGCTGTCGTCGTGCGTCCGTTTGGTAGTGCGGGCTGCCGCCCAAGCCGCATGCCAATGCTCATGATGTGCGGGCTCTACCAGAGTCGCACGCGACACCCTCGCCCTACCCCATTTGCCGCGTTGCTGAAGTGCTTGACGCACTATGAGCTCTTGGTGAGCCGGAAGCCTCGGCTGAGGGGCGAATGTGAGCAGGTCAAAGCATGCATGGAGTGCTTGCTTAGTGCTAGTGCAGCTTGTAGTTTTCCCTTGCATGTGTAGTTTTGCAATTCGTAACAATGCCAATGTTTTGGCTCAAGTACCGAGCTTGTGCCTTTGAGCACGGTAGTTTCGTACAGTAGCTCTTAGGTTGCTGTGCGGTCCGACCGGACGCACTCAGGCGTAGCTGCACAAGTGCTTGAACTCGCGAAGTCGTAAAACAGCGTGACCGGGCTGTGATTGCATTGGCTTAGTGCAAGTCCAGTGCTGGTCGACTTCACAAGGTAGTAGGTAGTAGGTAGTAGGTAGTAGGTAGTAGGTAGTAGGTAGTAGGTAGTAGGCAGTAGGTAGTAGGTAGTAGGTAGTAGGTAGTAGGTAGTAGGTAGTAGGTAGTAGGTAGTAGGTAGTAGGTAGTAGGTAGTAGGTAGTAGGTAGTAGGTAGTAGGTAGTAGGTAGTAGGTAGTAGGTAGTAGGTAGTAGGCAGTGTGGAGGTGGTAGGTAGTAGGTAGTAGGTAGTAGGTAGGTGTAGTTAGTAGGTAGGTAGTAGGTAGTAGGTAGTAGGTAGTAGGTAGTAGGTAGTAGGTAGAAGGTAGTAGGTAGTAGGTAGTAGGTAGTAGGTAGTAGGTAGCAGGGTAGTAGGTAGTAGGTAGCAGGGTAGTAGGTAGTAGGTAGTAGGTAGTAGGTAGTAGGTAGTAGGTAGTAGGTAGTAGGTAGTAGGTAGTAGGTAGTAGGTAGTAGGCAGTAGGCAGTAGGTAGTAGGTAGGTAGTAGGTAGTAGGTGGTAGGTAGTAGGTAGTAGGTAGTAGGTAGTAGGTAGTAGGTAGAAGTAGGTAGAAGTAGGTAGAAGTAGGTAGTAGTAGTAGTAGTAGTAGTAGTAGTAGTAGTAGTAGTAGTAGTAGTAGTAGTAGTAGTAGTAGTAGTAGTAGTAGTAGTAGTAGTAGTAGTAGTAGTAGTAGAAGTAGTAGAAGTAGTAGAAGTAGTAGAAGTACTAGAAGTACTAGAAGTAGTAGAAGTAGTAGAAGTAGTAGAAGTAGTAGAAGTAGTAGAAGTAGTAGAAGTAGTAGAAGTAGTAGAAGTAGTAGAAGTAGTAGAAGTAGTAGAAGTAGTAGAAGTAGTAGAAGTAGTAGAAGTAGTAGTCGTAGTAGTCGTAGAAGTAGAAGTAGAAGTAGGAGTAGTAGTAGTAGTAGTAGTAGTAGTCGTCGTCGTCGTCGTCGTCGTCGTCGTCGTCGTCGTCGTCGTCGTCGTCGTCGCAATGTGAGTTTACAGAACATGCTAGTTCCACACCTTCAACCCTAGTTCGGGAGTTTGACAACGAATTTGTATCGGCTGTTGTCCCAAGCCCTGCTCTCTGCGTGTGGCCCAGGTTGCTATGTTTGGCAGGAGCAATGGCGAGCTTGACCTGACCTTTCGGGATCACTCGGGTCCGTCTGTTGTCGAAGGCACCTCCACGAGCGCCACACCCCCTTAAATACAACATGCTATGAACCCCATCTTGGTGACGTGTTATATAACATGTCTGACTTGAAGCTCCGCTCCGTACGCCTGAAACCCAACATGTTAGCATTGCTGTTCTACTAACTACTTTCGGGGCTGTTAGCTCGCTGGAGTGGTTGGAACAGCTTAAAAACTTTCTTTAAGCATCAACCTTCCTCATGTCCACCTGCCATCCGTGCATGGTTGGATGCGGATTACTTTCGGAGCCAGAAATTGTGTTCAGATCAGCGAAGATTGAAGGGCATTGTGGCAGTTAAATATGAGTTTCTCGCACTGAAGAGCCCCCTGCTACCCCAGAACCTTGAAAATGTTTCCGATTATACTTGTGTTTGTGGGGTTTGACATTGTGAGCTGGGTTTTTATGGAGGTTGAAGGTTTTCTGTTCAGGGGGTGAATGGCCAATGGTATGTACAGCTCACATGCAGCACCTGCCCATCAAAAAGTAGTGCTCTTCCCCACAAGCATGGAGTAGCTTCCGTACTTTGCTTCTTCACATGGTATTCGTGTTATACATTCGAACTTGGAACCCTTACACAAATTCAGACAGTTAATTATTCAGCAACATTGCTGGAGATCGTTGGCTGGGATATTTGATATTGGAACTTTGTAAGTCGTTCCCAACCCGGATTAGCAATCTGTTCTAGCACCTGAGGCCCCTGCATTCGGGTTTGGTGGAATAGGGTTTGTCTGGTCCTCCAAGGTACTCTCGAGCAAGCACGAAGCCCATTGCTAATCCCCCTAATCATGAACCTCGCCACCCCAAAAAGACACACATATTCCCGACATAGTATAATATGCCATAGTGGAACATTTTTGATAGCAAATATTCCCAGCGTAGAATAATGCATCGCAGGCAGCTCCTGGCTTGGCTGTGTCCTGGCTGTGTGCGCCTCGCTTGAGCAGTACAAGTGGAGTTAGCTCCCCCGCGTTAGGCACCCATCAACCCCAAATGTTCAATATAAGTTTTGTATTAAGGTCTATATTTCGTATGTATTGCGGGTTCATGCAAGAAACGGGTGGAGGTAGCCCCCCCCCCCCCCCAATTTTCAATACTTTCTAAAGTAAAATGCATGTTACATGTCTGCTACGTACATATGTATATATATATATGTATGCACATACATATTGCCTTTTATTTTTGGGGCCAATTTGCAATGGCGGGATCTCATATGTTGCAAGGCAGTGAAGACTGTCGGGCTGTGTGCCCCAAGGAAGGCAGAGAATGGTAGTGCATCTTGGGTCAACAAAGATAGCTTTTCTGTCGTATCTGCATAGGCTTGAAGTGCAGCATTTGGGGCGTAGGGCCCGTACAGTACTCAATGGGTGCAACCAAGGCATCTAGCACGGAGCATGACCAAGACATGTAGCATCCTGCAAATGTTTTTGCAACGCATTTTATGCACAAGCTATTCCCACACAGCTTAAACCTTTTGTCAAAGATTCTCGTCTCATCAGCAGCAAGCGCCTGTCTGGGGGGGGGGGTGGGGGGGGGCAGTGACGCTGCACCATATACGTGTGTGTGTGTGTGTGTGTGTGTGTGTGTGTGTGTGTGTGTGTGTGTGTGTGTGTGTGTGTGTGTGTGTGTGTGTGTGTGTGTGGTGTGTGTGTGTGTGTGTGTGTGTGTGTGTGTGTGTGTGTGTGTGTGTGTGTGTGTGTGTGTGTGTGCTTGATTCGGGCAAGTAAGGCGTGCTGAGACGAAACACCCTGCTGCACTTGATCTTTGTGGAGCTGTCACCAATGCTGGTTTTCCAGTTTGCGCTGCAGGATTTCCTGAAAAGTGTCGCCGTAGACTACTACGAGAACACACACACGTGTGGCGAGGATCCCGGGTGCCTGACGCAAGCCTCTTACGAGCTTGTTTGGACTTTTCAGTCCAAGTACTCCAGTTATTGCTTCTCATATGATTGGAGGCGTCGGGCCGTGGCTCTTCCTATTGTAAACTGGATCTTTTTCGTGCTGGTCGTGTTTATTTGGCTGATCCCGGTCACCAGCTTCATACAAGAATTCGGAGTCTGGACTAGCGACGTCAACAGGGGGCGCTATTTGCAATGCATGTTCCGCGCCCAGCAGGATGAACGCTACCGACGACTGTGCTGGCTAACAGAGCGACTAGCCTTGCTGACTGCGATTTGTCTTCTGGTGTTTGCGTGGATCCTCGGAATCTCGGTTGTTGTTGGGTGACATTGTCTTCTTGTTTAAGGATTTGTTACAATGCATGTTTGTCAGGGCCTCACCAATCCAGGAGCGCTGATGTGGGTGCTTGAGACAAAGCTAATAAACGGCTTGGTCATGGCCGCAAGCATGCGAGCCTTCACTCGGCCGATTCATCCGACCTTCAACTTCGCGGGTGAAAGCTTCAGCGGCTTGTATTTCAAGGGCGCGCTACCACTTCCCTCACAGGCTCTGGCCCACATCATCGCGTTCGCTCTGGTTGAAGCACAGGTTGCATGCAAAAACCCCACCTGTAATCCATCAGACTTCCTCAACAAGGGTTCTCAGTTTGATCTCGGGAGCATGCCAATGGGATTCCTTTCACTCTTTGGCGAACGGCCCAACGTATAAGGGAGCACCACCATGCAAGCATTGTCTAGTTGTGAAAGCTAGCGCCACCTGAGCATAGGTCGGGCTGCTGGCGCTGTGAATATGTATCAAAAACACGGGACCGGAATTTGATCAAACCCCATGTACGTGCTCCTGCACATTTTAGACAAAACCTTCCTCAGACGCAGTCCATCCAAACAACACTGGCTCTCAAACTTTAAAGTCGACTCTACAAGACCAGAATCTGTTGCAGAGGTTTGGAGAGTTGAATGTAGAAGCCTCACTACTTGATGAAGGTGATCCCAAAAACAAAAGCGCAGCAAAGTGTTATAATCTACCGCAAAACCCGATTTTGCGTACTTGGGCCCGCAATCCCTGGACCTTAAACCCAAAGTCCTTAAGCCCTTAGTTCTCAACGCTAAACCCTACACCCTGAACCCTAGACCAGGTTGCAGACGCTAAAGGCAACCAGGCCGACCAGGCCGATGTGAAGGTTTCGAAGCCGTGCCTGGCCTGTGCAACAGTGGTGCTGGGTTAGGGACTTTGGACATCATTTTCAATAGTTTGTTGCTACAGACCTAATCCTCCGAGGCAACAAATCCTGCATGCCAGAGTAACAACGACAGCATAACGTAGGCTTACGGTTCAAGGGTATAGGTTTAGCGCGCAGTGTTCGGGGTGTATGTTGTCCCTAAATCTTAAAACAGGTTTAGGGCTTAGGGTTGGCATTTTGTATTTTGTTGCTGTGTAGCCTGTCCTGCTTAACACTTGTTTCCTGTTGTATGCATTTCTTTGTGTAGCATTTAAATGTATGATTTTTTGCAGCCCGTAGTCCGAAACCAGAAGCTTTTAACCCTGAAGCTGCACCCTTGCAACTCAGTCTTCTAGTCCGCTTGATGGGAAGCACCGATGCCGAGTACCTCCGCACCGCAGCGGTCTCAGAAACCTACTTATGTTTGGCTTGCAAGGCTTGGAGTGCGGGGGTTTAGGGTTTCAGAGTTTCGGCTTTCGGGGTTTCGGGTTTAGGGTTTGGGGTTTGCAGGAGATAGCATCGACCTGACGGCAATAGTCTTCTCCCCTTGATCATGAAATCTCCGAACCCCTAATGATGAATTAATGTTCCCAATATCGTATACTATACGACACTGGGACTATGTGCGATTCCGGGAATTGGGAGATCAACTATTAGGGGAAGGGGCCTATACAGGGTCTAATTTAGTATTCAGGGATACAAGGAAACGTCGCCTGCTACATCGGTATCAGGCTAGAATCGATGAGTGTTTAGAGTTTAGACCATTGGAGAACGCATGGGTAGGTCCAACCAGTGGGGCGGTCTCCGCTGCAGACCCCAAGACCCACCAGACCGCAGACGCACTTCAAACCTAAGCCCCAAACCCTAAACCAAGCTCAGACAGCCATCGTGGGATGCAGCTAAGAACTTTCCTTTATCGACAGAAACTTGGAAGCTGTAGCACGTCTGTCTGCTGCAACCTGTCTGCTGTTGCTTCCAAGAACCCGGGTGTCCAGGCCTTACCTGCCTAATGTTATATATGTCTGGGCTTGCCAAGCCTGCACGGGAACGGCGGGACTCATCTCACCTTCGCACCCCCGCATTGATGAGATAACTCACAAATCGCTGTACCTGGTGTCAAGATTCCCACTCCTGGCCAGGAGCTACAGTACATGTAGTGGTCTGGCTTGTGGAGCTTTCAAAGCGACCAAATCCAGTTGCAACTGAGTACGACCCTGCCATTCAGTCTGCAAGGTTCTAGTGTCTGTAAGGTTCTAGTGGCAGTAGGACCTCGGAAATTGTCGTCCAGGATGCAACTCGTGTGCTCATGAGCCAACGCTCGACAGGCTGTGGATTTTGAGTCGTCTCTGGAGTAAGTAATCGCGCTCTTGCTCAGGCATGCCATCTTACCAGGACCCCTCATTCCAGATTCTCTTGATAAAAGTCACCTTTAAACAGGCCCGGAGGAGTGTGAAACATAGCCGATGCTAGTGAAGCAGGTCGCGGGCAGCTTTGATGACTATTGGCGGGTCGATTGTCGGAGATCCAACATCCGTTGCTCTTTCGCGGTGGGCCTGTCGTTTCACTTCGTCAAAACCCCGAATTCTGATCCGGCGAGGATCGTCCCTCTGCTCTCTAGCTACGGGTCGTGGCGGTAGGGCGTCGCCCTCAAAAACTGCCACAGGTACCTGTACCATAACATCATCTGCATACCCAGCACAATCCCCTGAAGCTTTTGGCGCTTCCGGTTCGTACTCCGGGTCTGGGGCGTAAACAGGAACACCCCTACACCTACGCAATCCAAGATTCACGTCTTGGAGGTTGTGGAGGATCAATGGGTGGTTGAGGAGGATCAGGTTCTACAAGGGCGGTGCGACTTCCCAGGATCTTGGTTCCATAACTCATGATCCGGCTGCAAAACATCTGGCGGCCTGATGTTTTCTCGCTCACGCTCCGGGTCCGGCGGCAGGATCCTATGCCTCGCGTAGTCCCTCCAACCCCTTATACCTGTTCTCTTGAATTGCTCTGATAGCCAACATAACCGTGAATGGCTGTGCACTAGCTTGGCTTTAGGCAGCAGGCAAAAACCACTGCGACTCTAACATTCTCTCAAGGTAACCCCTACCTCCAGGCACAATTGCGTTCACTTAAACCTGGATCGGCAACTTCTCGAGCTCTGGCCAATTACTCAACTTCTAGTGTCGCGGGGATTGCAGCGGTTTAGTGTCGATGTCGGCCGGATTGTATTCAACAGAGACGTGAATAGCTGCGCTCGTGAAAGGCTACGAAGATCATACTCAGCTCCAAGTGTCATGTCCCAAGCCAAGACGCAATGCCCACACACTTTTCCCCACTTTTCCCATGGCTTTGCCCAACCCACACTCACCGGAGAAAACTTCCAGGAAGACAGCAACGGTCAAAGACGCCCTCGGGCTGAGGGCCGGGACATCGTTCTTTCGATTTTGACGGCTGCTGCGATTGCCGCCGCTCTGGTACGGGCCGGCAACGCCCGCAGCTGCTGACCTAGCCGGCGTACTGAGGCAAAGCTCTTCCATTTTCGCCAATGGTGCGTCTTTTTGAGCTGCATCGTGTGAAGGCCCCCCATGGCGAAGGGATATGGATGTGGATCCCCATCCGCCTGCGTCATCTTGTAGGCCTCGCTGGTGACCTTCATGAACTCGCGAATCTGGGACAGGTTGATGGAGAACATGTGCTCGTCCGCTGCCCTCTGATGAGGACGAAGCAGGTTGTAGACACAGGGCCACGAACTGGATTTCTGGGATGTGGAAGGGGATGGTCTCGTCAAACTCGCCCGTCTTTGACGCCCGCACGCACGCCGGCCCGCACGCCCGCACGCCCGCACGCACGCACGCATGCACGCACGCCAGCGCGCGCGTGCGCGCGCGTGCGCGCCCACACACACACACACTCCCAACCCAACGGTAACCGGGACTTGGGTGGTTCCAACGGGCTCCTGAGGTGAGGTTGCCGAAAGAGGACAGCTGCCAGCAGGTACTGCCCAAAGTTGTGACCTTCGTCGAAGAGGTATGTCGGCGGCGGGGCATTTGGATGCCGGGTTGAGGTGGCAACGGCGGCACAAGTCGATCCAAAGGCTGGCGTAACGCTCCCGGCACTGTTTGCTCACCGAGGCCTCCGCCAACGTACCAATTGACCATTGACTCTCGCATCGTCCTGCGTGCCGCCGCTCTCGACTCCTTGCTTGCCACTGACCCTGTTACATCCGCTGCCCTTACCGTCGACGGTCTTTTTGAAAGCCTCTTCTTGGTCCCATGCTGGGCTACTGTTGAGACCCCGTGCCCCAGCTCCAAGAGGCGGTGGATCACCATCTGGCCAGTGTGACTTACTCGGAAACAAGGAGCCTCGGAATGGCTTGTCAGAAGGGTTGAAGAGGAAGCGTTTCTGGGGTGCCGACTCCAATTTGCACTTGCTGGGGTTTATCTCAAAGCTCTGGGACCCTTTCCGGCTGCACTTCTGGTAAGCATGTTAACATATGGTAGGGAACTGAATAGTGGGACCTGATGTTTGAGAGATTTGCAGATGGACCCCGGTCCTAAGCTCCAGCTTGAGAGCAGCTACTCAACTCATTTTTAAAATGTTTACAGACCTGGCCATGCTAACTCTTCAACCCAAAACTTCAAACCAACATCCGAAGCACCAAGCCCTAAACCCTTCACCTATAGCCCTCAACTTCCTCAAAACCAACATCCTATTCAAAGGGGTGAGCAACCGAGGTCCAGCGCTGTCTTGAGGGCAGGCCCACAACTACGGAGTAGTTACACACACTCTTGGGCGGATATTGAAAAAATGGATGCCCGATTAAAACGCCTGCACGTGTACAGCTGGGTTTTTACCCTTCTTCGAATGGTTCTGTTTTCCTGTTCTCTCGCGCTGTGCCGGGAGCACACACCCATTCGGAGGTCAGACTTGTAGGTTACTTCAAGACAGCTTCAGAGCCTCTATTTCTTCGATCCTTGTGGGGGTCTTTATAGTTTCACCGCCGAGGCTTGGAGGGAGTATGTTCCGAGCGCCACTCTGGGAAAGCTTTCATGGTCATCGTTTATGGAAGACTATCAGATACTCCTGGAAAGTGCCCAGAAGCCGCCATTTCAATGAAGTAGCCTGCTCTCAAATCGCCATGTTCGGTTGCTTGAGCGCCTGGTAGAGAATCTTGCTAGCGTACCAGTTTAATGTGGGCTGTGAACCCCTGAAGACCGGGCGTGCAAGACAAGGGCGATGTTACGACTTAGTGCGAACACCTTTCGAATGTGAGGCCGCGACTCTCCTTGCAAAGCAAGATTCAAGATCAATTGGATCATGGTGAATCATGGCTGCCTTGATGCGAGCGCAGACATCTTCTTACGAGCACGGGATTTCATACAAGGATTTGAAGCACTTCCCATGCACTAAGCCTCCAGTTATTTACATAATGGCATACTGGCCCTATATCTGCGACAAGATCCCGCAGCCTTACATCCTAAACCAGACGTGCCGGGGTGCGTTTAGGGGTTTAGGGCAGCCTGAACTGGTGACCTTTGCGGCTTCTCAGTGAAGTCTTAGTTCTTGTACTTCCTCAGACATGGCTAGGAATACGCCAGAACCTTACTTCCGGGAAGAAAAGAGAGACCGCCCTTCGGATGCAGAATTTCAGAATTGCAGATGCGGCAAAGGATGTACGAGTTGACAGAACGAAGTTTCGGAGCCGTGAAAATCATGATTGAAAACGGGCATTGTCAAAATATCTATGCCGGCAGGCGCGGACAGGGACGGGCCGTGCTCTCTGCCCTCCGTATTTCTGCAGCATTCTTGCGTCACCAACGTGTATCCACATCAAGAGTCTTGTTCTCAAAAGGCGTGGTGCAACATATGAAGGCACCAATTATACTGACAGGCACATACATAAACAGAGCGAGTTTACCAAGAGACCAAGAAACCAGTTGATGCCATCCGAACTGTGACAGTATGCAGCTCCTTTCGGAACCAGGCAAAAAGCTCCAGCCAATGCAAGATCCAAAAGCTGGCAAAGTCGGAACACTGCAGGTTCGATGCGTTTCAGATGAAAGGTTCCAGATGAGTACTCAAGGCTCCACCCCGCATGTATTGATCAAGCCTTTCCAAGTCGATTTTGTAGTTTAAGTGCTGGAAAGTTACTCATGAAGTGTATCAAATTTCCGCATCGATCTGCAAGATTTTAATGCCCTACCTTCACAGTGGGATTGTTAAATTTCCAGAAGTCTATGTTCTCCTTGACCTTCTTGCAGGGTGCCCAACAGTAACCTTGCAGTCCCAACTGCAATATCCCTACAGTGCCCAGCCGCGCACTATCCCTGCAGTGCGCAACCAAAGAGTTCCCTGCAATGCACAACCGCACAGTGCCTAGCCGCGTAGTACTCCTGCACCAACCAATCAGTATCCCTGCAGCGCCCAACCGCACCCAACCGCACCGTATCCCTGCAGTGCCCATGCGGCATTCAGAGGCAAGAAGCTCATGGGGGCCAATGCTGCGCTCATCCAAGAAATTTGCTTTCTGTTTGAACGAGCAGGGTTTCTTTGTATACCTTCAGGGCTCGAGGTTGCAGATCCTGTTCAACACTGTCAAGCACCATAGCTGCGCAAGATTGTCAGTATAGCAAAGTAGACCACTTCACTCCCCTAAGCAGCAAAAGCAGCCCCAGCAGCTGCCATGACATGATACGGCTCTAATTGCTTCGCCGCCGCACAACCACACATTAGTGACTCATTAGTGTTAGTGTGAGGATGCTGGACGTGAAGAATTGCTTGAACACAATCAGTTTAGATGACTCGCTTTTACAGGCAGTTGTCGAAGTCGGCACTGATCACCCCTGAATTGAACACATCAACATGCTGGGAAATCTTAGAGCAACTTGGCTCATAGAAACATACACCGAAGGATTTGGCTGCTTGGAAGGCATGAGTTCTTCGATGCCAGGAATCGAGAGCATCAACGTTTTGGACATGGAGCTGCACAAATCAGACGTCGTAGCTTCTTCTAACCACCCCGCATCGTTAACGAAGAGTTGTCGCAGTTAGTTTACTCAACATAAAGTTAGTCGCGCGGACGAGAGGTTAGCACCTGAAAGACCTGTCGTCAAAACATGTTACTACAAGATCTCCCAACAACAGAGTTACACAAATGGAGTCGTTAATTCGTCTTTAGGTCAAGCTTGCTCCAATATTCTTGCTAGACAGATACAACAGCCCCTCCCCCATATTCAACTGGAGCTTAGTAGTCTTTCTGTGATAGGACACCTGCTGCTTCGACTGCTGATTCATGATGAGCTTGCTTTGCCGCGTTTGCGTTTGATCTCGCAAAGCCTTTGCTGGGAGGGGGAACCCAAAAGGACCGAACGCCTGCTGTCGAGTCATTTTCGTCTTAGGGGAACGCAATCGTGACTTGTTGCGACAGTGTATGCTAGCTAACCTATCGGATGTTCATGAAACATCGAAGGTGTTTTTTTCCTTCATGCCTAGGTGTAGAGCGCAGGTATGCATGCTTGCTACAGTCATGTGCTGCATGTCTTTGTGTTGAGCCTTTTGCTAAGAAGTGACCAAATGTGGCATTTGGGCTACAGGCCCCTTGGAGGGGCCAAAATTTCAGAGTGCCCACCCAACCCAGCTAGCCGACGGCTAGAGTTTGTTTTTGGATACCGGTATTCTGCCATTCGAGATAGGCCCTCGAATTTTCAGAGTCTGGCGGCCGTGCGCCAAATGCTCACGAAGGGCTGGACACCTTTGCTATCCGTGAGCAAACCCCAAGTCCTACACAAGCAGTTGGCAAAGTTGTGAGCCCTAACTCGAAGGCAGGCATCCTAGACTTTCATGTTCGAGCACAAATCTCTAACCTGAAGCTGCACCTACACCGTGAACCCTAAACAGAGAAGCCTAAAGCCGAAACCAGTAAGTTGCAAAGCTGGGTTCCCGAGTGCACTCGTTTTTCACATTGTTCCGCGTTCGGTTTTTCTAGGCTTGATTTGGAAGTTTGGTGTTTGGTGTCCGGTTTGGGGTGGGGGTTGGGGGAAATTGCTGGCTCCAGGATCTTGTGCGTGTGACTTTACGTAAATCGAAATGTGTATCCGTTTGTGCCTTTCTGGTTGCAACGGCTCTCGTGGTTTTGGACATTTTGGCCACGGTCTTTCGCGCACGACCAGCTCTCCCCTCTCCCCCATACAATGGCCAACTTGCCAGGAGAAGTTTGCCACGCGGGGCATGACGGTTCTTGCTTCTTTGTGATCCTTTGTAATTCCCAAATGCCCAGAAACCAGTCAGCGCACGCTTTCTCGATATTTTCCATGGTCCACGCGTGTGTCTTTGATATCCAGTGCTATCCGGAGTTCCGGTAACATCTCAATTTGCTTAAACCCAATGTCGTGAAAGTGGGGAAAAGAATTGCGCTAAAGTTCTAATCCGCCTAGTCGTCTCGTTCGTGGCATTTGTGGTTGAACACTTAAGGTGAGGCCCTCGAAGGACATCGTCTCGTTCGTGGCATTTGTGGTTGAACACTTAAGGTGAGGCCCTCGAAGGACATCCGCTGCACCGCAGCCTCAACGTTCAGGGCGGGGCTGTTCCCGTAAACCCTTTGCGCAAGAGGGGCCATCCGGCCTCACTGAGCACCTCCTTGGCTCTCTTTAAGAATTCCGCCTTCAAAGCCACCAAGTAGGCCATGACCTCAGCAGCAGAGACAAAACTAAATTTCACCAAGCAGCAGCACAAGCAAAGAGCAACACGCCCTTTTGTTCCTCCTAGGCGGTGGATTAGTGTTATCACCCCGAATGCTGCGTTTGCCTTGGTTTTGTAGTCGCGACAGGCCACCAACACTGGGGTTTGCGGCAACAACAGGCCACAACATGGGGGTTCTTACGCAAATAGCAGTCTACATGTGCAGCAGTACCTGGTAGTGTAGCACAGGGCCGCGGACTCTTGGGCAGGTTTATCAAGTTCGGCCGGTCTGTGGAAGTTGTGCACCTAGATGGCCCCCAGGCCCTCAGGCGTTCAACAGCTGACAGGCCTGCCTGTAAGTTCAAGGCCTTGCGCTGCTGCCTGAAGCTGCTGCGCTTTACGTTGGCCCTCGTCTCTCTGACAGATGGTACCCACCATGTGGCCGGTATTTGTGCGCGGGCTCGGCATGGAGATCCATCGGCTCAATCTGTTGATGACCCAGGCGTCGTTGCAGCCGAGCCAGTGCACTCTTCCGAGCTTGCTGGGCCCTGCATACATGTTCGTCCATCAAAAGATCGGCAGTGCATGCGTTCTACATTCTGCGGACTTAGCCTCAAAGAATATGTAACCAATGACGAACAGGCCATGGTGACCAAGATCTGCCCAGTCAGGTAAGATGAGGTGAAGTAGCACCGTTGAGACATTCTTAAACAGCGGTACTTCTGGTGCAAGCTGCTAAGAGAGAGTATAGGTGTGGGGTATGTAAGCAGACCCCGCCGAAACCCGACACAGATGCAGGCTTGAGGTCGCACCGACAACATCTGCAGCGGTTGAGTCGGGCGTGTTATTAATCCGAGATATCCGAGGATCTGATTTGTGGGCCCGCCCGGAGAACAAAGGAAAGGGTCGTACGATTCCCTGGCTGGAAGGGGGGGTATACTCTCCTCCTCTTCTCCTCCGCGGTCCTCTTGTATCCTTTTCTTTCCATCATCCCTCGGGGATTTCTCTTGGCAAATGATGTGGGCGCCGATCCTCCAAACGCAGTCGTAAGGAATTGCAGTTTTCTGTGGCAGCCTCGAATTCAATCCGCCCGTGCTTCTTGGATACTTGCATACTTGAAAGTAGCAGTTCCTTCTTCCAACTACTTAGCCTGGCCACGCGTCTTTCCATTCTTCACCAAGGTTTTATTATTCGCTAGGTCTTGCCATGGAGTAGGGCCTCGTTTGGGGTAGGTCAAAAACAAGGGATTTGTGTGCCGATCCTGCGAACGAAGTAGGCAGGAATCGCAGTTGTCGAAAACGAGGAGATTCTTAGTTAACTATTTACTCAAAAGCAAAAATCTCGATTGCTTTGCCTGGGCGCACCGGGCTTTCCATTATTCCCGGTTGTTTTGTGTTTGCCGTTTTGGATTGGGCCCCCGTAAGGGGTAAAAATTGATTTGAGCGCCGGTCAAATTTTCTCGCAGCCTCGAATTCCGAAAGCTGGAGATTTTTTGGGATTACATTGCTTTAAAGAGGCTTTTTTCAAGGCAGTCGAAAGGCCCCAGCAAGGTAGTCAGCAATCGCAGTTGTCTCTTGCAGCCTCCATTGGCAATCCTTTCGGCTGCTACAAACTTGGGGTCCATATGTGCTGCCTGCAGGTGAAGGGCAGATGTCCTAAGTTACGATGAATACGTTTTAGCCCCGACTTCTTGGAAGATGACAGTGCTCTGAAAGCTGGAGGAGCCCGCCTGCTGGGCTCCGCAATGACAGCGCGGCGTTCCTCGAGGACGGCGTGAAGGCTAATTCCTGCGGCGCTTGCGCCGATTCGTGCAGCGCTGGTCTGATAAAGACTGTAAGAAGCATGGCGCGTGAACTGTTGCCGGATTCGCCGGCGTCGCTGGCCAAAGTGCCCGGCAAAGTGTCGGGACAACAGATAAGCCCGTGCCGCCAATTGCCGGCAGAAGCTATGACAAGAATCTGGGCTGTGATCTAAAACTCTGGCAAAAGCCATGGCAAGAATCTGGGCTGTGATCTGAAAACCCTGGCAAAAGCCAGGGGGGGGTTTGGGGGGGAGGGGGGGGTTGGGGGCCGGATGTCGGTGGGGGTTGGGGGTACAGCCGAATCTGCGAAGTTTCGGTTCCAAGGGTGGGGGTTGGGTTACAGCCGAAGCTTGTGAGTTTGGGCATCGTAATACGAAGCTCGTATGGAAATGGGGGGTCTGAATTTTACTCCTGCCCGAGTCGTTCCGAGCGGTTCGCGTGGTTCCGGCCCCACAACACCCCCCCCCCCCCCCGGCCCCCAACCTGACCCACCCCCCCACCCCCCCCCAGCGCCCCACCCAACCCAAACCCAACCCAACCCAAACCGGTGGGGGGCTTCTTTGCAGCGGCGTCCCCAACCTGTGTTGCCTGGCACACTCCACCCCCGCACCCCCACCCCCCCCTACTTCAGGCAAACAGCGAGTTTTTTTTGGACTCGGCTGTTGGAAAAGGACACTTGCCCAAAAAATCTGTCGTCAGGCCTGAAACCTGCCAAGCATTTTGCCGCCAAATTTCCCCAATTCTGTCCGAAGCCCTAAATCCTGCCAAGCTTTCCGCCGCTGAATTCGCCGCCAGGCCTATTTTGCCAAGGATTCTGCCGCTGGGTTTGCCGCAGAAAACCCTCAAATCGGACCCGAAAAGTAAAGACAAGTCTTCGTATGGACGTGGGTCCTCTCATAGGGCAATCGACAAGTGGGTTGGTGAATGAAAGGTTCAGGTTTTCCGACATAAGAAAACTTGAGCCGGAGTCCTGTTCTCTTCGGGAGATTACATCAAGAGCTCAGGGTTTAGGTCACCTTCTTCGCTTGTTGGTTGAAGCTCTAATCGGCACGTCGTGGGCACTTTGTGGGGTTGCGAGGGTTGTGAACACCACCAGTGTTTGCCACGCAACAGACCACGGTCCAGCGACCTTGTAAGATTTAGCCTATTTGAATGATGCGCATTATTCTCAACGGAGAGTTCAGGCGGAACTTGCTTCGATCTCTGTGTCTTGACTTCGAATCATTCCACCATGTGTGCCGGCTCTTGAGGCTCAGCTTGGAGTCTTGATGCCATGGGTTTTGGGATGCATGACTGTCTCCGCACACTTCTGCTATGGCTCTGCTCCCAGAGACGATCGGGGTACACCATGGCGGATCCCAGGTGTGGATAGGCCCATCTACCGCGCAGCAGACTGAGGTGGGACTATGTGTTTTGATATGAGCGCCCAAGAAGAGACAAGTTAAAGTTGCTGGGAGGGTGCGGTCGCAAGGATGGCTGCATGAATGGCATGTATGTGCAATCCTGTGCTAGTAGCTTGTGTTCTAGACATGGCAGCATGGGTTAATGGCGGCAGAATGTACAAGTGCAACCTAGCTTCCCTTGAAAACATGGCTGCCAATATTTGACGACCACAAGGTGGGCTTGTTGGCCGCATGCTTTGTGTGCTGCGTCAGTTGGCTGAACAGCCGAAACACCCTGCTCCACGTAGCCATAGTGGAGAACGCATTCCTGATTCTCTTCCAGTACTCCGTGCAGAAATTTCTCCGAGACATACTGGTTGACTACAGCTTGATTTTGTACAACGTTGGTCCGGACCGTGGTTGCCAAGAACAAGCTTCGACAGAGTTTGTCTGGACATTCCAAGCATCTCTCTCTGAATGGTGTTACAACGAGCATTGGTATCGCCCGGCCTATTTAGTGGCCGCGCTCAATGTGGGCTGCTTCGCAATTGTGGCTGTGCTTTGGCTTCTGCCGGTCTGCGCCGTCATTCGCGAATTTGGTGTGTGTTCACACAGAATCTTGGCTGGCCTTGGGACATCTAAGTATTTTCCTTTGTTGGTTTCAGAGGGGCCCTATCTACTTTTCAAAGGGTTCCAAAGGCCAACCAAGGAATCAATACAGGATCCTACCTCGGGTTGATGTTCAAGGTTCGTGAGAGTTTCTCGGCTCGACCAGTTTTTATGCCTCCACGACAAGATTCCCCGAAACCCCGAACCCTCAATAATGGGAACTCTAAACCCAAACCCTAAACCATTTCATTCTCGATATTCTTTTCCATTTGGTTCGACTGCCATTACAACATCCCTAAACCCCACATAGCCCCTTGGAGGACCTACAGTAGGGTTTCCATTTCATGGCCATACCCCCTTATACAATATAGCCTTTTTGAGTCTCAATATGACCCGACCCCCTGTAACACCCTAGAGGCATCTGTCGTTTTGCTGAGAAAAGCCGAGGCACCTGCTACCGCATTTTAAGCAGAATTCTGGAGGCATCAGGGTTTAGTTAGGGTTTTTGGGTTTAGGGTTTTATGCTTTAGAGCTTAGAGCTTTGGGTTTGGGTAGTTTGAGAAACTCCTGGAGGCCCTGGCATTGGTGTCCATGGGGGCTCTACTTTTCGTTGCCTACCTCCACAACCGTCTCGTTTGGTCGATTCAGCACAAGTTCGTGAATGCGTTGCTGGCTTGAAAGAAGGTCGCTCATTTCGGTGCAGGGCCTTCCGATCAGGCTTGTTGCCGGTGCAGAGGATAGTGTTAACCACAGTAACGGGTGTTGCAGCATGTGGCAAGACTAAGTCTCCTTCGAGGCGGGCCGGTGTTGTTATGCTTCTTCTGTGCAACGGCTCCTGACAAGACCAGTCTTGAAATGCCCTGACCGCGTGACCCCCACGACTTCGTTGGACAGCTCAGGGCTTAACAAGAACACCCCAGCAGCATTGATGCAGATGTGGTTCAGATAGTCAAACAGGCTCCACAGCCACAGTTGGTAGCTTCCCTAAACGGGGGGAGGGGGGGGGGAACCCCAATATAGACCCCGATATTCAGCTAAGGTTTGGCGGGGCTAGGGGCAAACGAGGGTAGGCTGTAAACAGGAGTATGCTTGAAAAGACAGGAAAACGCAGAATAAACGGCTGGTTGTTGGGGGGCCTGAGGGTCGAGAAAAGTGAGGCTTTAGGTTGAACCAGGGCAAGAAGCAGGACAAGCAGGACAAACAACCAGGAAGAGCAAGAACAAACAACATGGACACAGGACCCGCAAGCAGGACAAGCAGGACAAACAAGCAGGACAAACAGGACAAGCGAGCATGACAAACCAGGACAAGCAGGACACGCAAGCAGGACAAGCAGGACAAGCAGGACAAGCAGGACAAGCAGGACAAGCAGGACAAGCAGGACAAGCGAGCAGGACAAACCAGGACAAGCAGGACACGCAGGACAAGCAGGACACGCAAACAGGACGAGCAGGACGAGCAGGACAAGCAGGACGAGCAGGACAAGAAGGACGAGCAGGACAAGCAGGACAAGCAGGACTAGCAGGACAAGCAGGACAACAGCACAAGCGGGACAAGGAGGAGATGCGAGCAGGACAGGCCGGCAAGCAAGTAACAATTGGCACAAGCAGGACTCCGGACAACCAGGACAATCGGGACAGCCCGGACAACCACCACAAATACATGTGGCATGCCTTAGCGAGGCTTTCTGGACACGTGTGTTAAGGGGGCGTGGCTTCCCGCATTCTTCCGCATTCACCCGCGTTCTCCCGCGGCGTCTTCCCGCACATTGCAGATATGTCCCCTTTGTCCCGTATTGTTCCGGATTGCCATGCCAATCGGAAAAAGCAAATATTCAAAGCAGGAGAAGCAGGACAAACAGCAAGACAAACTGGACAAGCAGGACAAGCAGGACACGCAAGCAGGACAAGCTGGACAGACAAGCAGGACAAGCAGGAGTAACCAGGACAAGCCAGCAGCAAGCAGGACACGCTAGCAGGACAAGCAGGACAGACAAGAAGGACAAGCAGGACAAGCCGAACAAGCCGGACAAGCAGGACAAGCAGGGCAAACAAGCAAGACAAGCAACCCGGGTCTTCTCCCCCCCTCCACCCCGCCCCAACAAAAAATTTGGTGTGGCAAAACACCCAAATCAAACAGCTCCCCGAGAAGTCCGAGAAGCCAATCAAGGAGACCATGCGTACTCGGCGCTAAACTAAACCCCTAAGCTAAAGACCTTATTTCGGATTGACATTTCTGTCGGCGTGGCTGCAGGTACAACTCAAGCTACACAGCGCCTTTTATCCCGCGGTCTCCTGCGTTTTCACGCAGCCTTTTTTCATGCAAACAGACGCTCCGAGCAGTTTGCAGCTCTTTACAGAGAAAAAATGTTGTTAGCCGTATGAAAGCCGCGACTCCGAGCGTGCGGCTTAGGCCAGAACGCGTTTTTTTTTCTGCTCTGTTCAGTACCCAAATTGTGGTTGTTCGTATGAAAACCGCTACTCCGAGCACGGGGACCTGAGCCACAGACAGGCCTGAGCCACACCATTAAAAATCCAATTCCGCCGGGTTTAGGGTGGTGGAGCAAGAATGGCTTTTGTTGACCATGTTCTCAGTGGATCCATACGCGGAACCGGAATGAGAAAAAGCAGACCATAACCTTTGGTGTTGGTTCATTGTTTCACCTATGTTCGGGGCGCAGGTCAAGTCTATCAGAGGTTTTCGTCTTCGGGTTTGAGATTTATATGTTCTCTTTCGGTTCCTGTCTCGCCCCCTTAGCGTTCCTGACTCCTCGCCTTCCTGTTCCTAACTCGTCCATGTGTTGTGTGTTGTTCCGACTCGCCCGCCCGCCTTCATGTTCCTCAGTCGTGCGCCTAACTCGCCTCTCATCCTAATCCATTCTGAGGTTGGTTATCGTGGTCAGCATGAAGAACTTCACGCGCCAAGACAAGCCATCGATTGTGCTTGACAGCGAGTCTTTTGAGGCACTCAAGTTTCCAGGCCAGCCGGTGCGGGGGCGGGGGGGGGGGGGAGAAGTCATATTTTGTAGGGGGACTGCGGGGTATGATCGAGAATCAAACGGAAAAGAACATGGACAATGAAATGGAAATCCAAGGTCCCGTCGAGGGGCTATATGGGGGATATATGATCAGGGCGCGCCCGCCCCCTCCGCCCCCCCTGTGGTGTGGTTGGGGGTTTGGGTTAGGGTTTAAGGTTCAAGGTTGAGGCTTTAGGGTTCGAAGCTGTCAAATGGTAGGTTTAGGTGTAAGTTTAGGGTTTACGGTCCCCCCTCCCCCTGTGGTGTGGCTGAGAGGTTTCGGTTTAGGGTTGAAGGTTTAGGTTTAGGGTTTAAGGTTTAGGGCTTAGGGCTTAGGGTATAGGGAAGAGGCTTCCGGGGGAGGGGGGTTTGGGATTTAGGGGAGGGAGGGTGGGAGGGAATCCATGGGGGGGGGGACCGGCGAACCGCCAATCGTAATCATGCAAAGGCTTTAAGGACCTAGGGCCTGGGTTATGTATGGGAGGGACAACGGCAAGTGAGTAACCCTTGGTCCCTTTAAGGCATTACATATAGGTTATGTAGGGTTGAGTGACATTACCACAACCACGTAGAATCACATGGATAAGGAAATTGAACATGCAATGAAGTCAAAGAAGCTCACCAAGGCGCTTTGCCGCTGCCGAGCAACTTCATTGCAATGAGGCTGCAAGACGCTTTGGTGGAGGCTGAGGCAAGGTTTCTTAAATAGCTTTGTTTACTTATTGCAAGCATCATCTTTCGTGGTTGTGTTTGTGTGGGGAAATTTAGGGAACCCTGTGAGGTCGTCGATGCTTTTGCGGACGGCGACGACCTCGAGGACTCCATTTCCAGAAAGAAACCGATGCTCGAGGCTATCCTGCGGACTGAAGCTGGGTTGCTGTTAAGGAACTGAAAAAGGTGAATCCTATTCTTTACTATCAGTCCATATTATGGTAACTTACTCCAAGTACCTTAACAGCAACCCAGGAAGACCCAGCAGAGCTCATTAATGTCCGAGCCCAAGTCTATGACGGTCACTGCCACACGGGGGGTGATCTAGAGGTCCTTGAGGGCGATTACTCAGGGTTCTTGTAGGGCTTTAAGCATACAGATGTTACAAAGGCGGAAAATGGGTTTTCCATAATCTTGTTTAATAGGGAATCGAGTTACCACATGCCATCCCACGGTGCCCTAAACCCGAAGCCCTGAACCCTAAGCCGTGCTTCAACTTTGAGGTTCAAAATTGCCTGAAGGGCTGCACGAACAGACGGCGCAGATCCACTCCCACTTTGCCTTCAGACAAAAGCATCGAGCCCCTGTGCCACATGGAAACAGAATAGTTTCCTTCCGTCTGTTTTCTCAAACATCTCCTGACCCGTTACTGTTGACTGCTCTTTGTAGTGATCCGAATGTACCTCATGATTCATGCTTTAGATGCTATGGATTATGCTGGGGTGTTTTTGGGAAGGGTTACCGCCACGTGGCGTGCGCATGCAGCCGGAACGATGTGGAATCACCAGCCCCGGATATCCCCATATTAGAGATTGGAGTTTCTGAGAATGTATACGGTCGCCAATACCAATCCCCATAATCCCCATCTAAACCCGAAACCCTAGACGCTATACCGCATAATCCCCATACATCCATGGGAGTCCGTTTGGGCCGGCTTTCTGCATTTGAGAAGTTCCCTTATTTGCTTTGGGTAAGAGCCATGGTCATGGCTGGGGAATGCGAAGCATTCCTTGGGCCTGAAGCTCGCCTGTAGCACAAAGACTGACAAAGATATTAGCTGGTTGCAAAAAGCACAGCAAAGCACTTCACGCTTGTCCCTGTCATGTATACTAGGTGGAACTTCATCTATGTGAGGGAGCCTAAAGTTTTTTTTAGCCGGGGACCGACAAAACCTCCATCAACGCCAGTGGGTTTAGGGCCCATTTTTTGATGTGCTAGTGCTAGTTGCTCTCGTCTGGCTCTGATCAGGAAAAGCCCTTGCAGGGAAGCTAGGGAAAATGCCCGAAGCTGCAGAACACATTGCTTATGGGCACAAAGAATGGACGAGTGGATCCCCATGGTAGTGCCAATATGAGAATAAAACACAGTCGCTATATCCGATTTTTCATTCCCGAGTGCCTTAAGAAACGCCAATCCGATGTTCTTTCAGGAACTGATGTTTCATGCCGTTTTCCTGAGGAGATTCAAGAAGAACAACCTGAAATCACTTTCTTATGGTATGCTGACACTGCCTGTCGGTGTAAGCGCCAAACCCCTAGTCTCCAAACCCCCTGCCTTAAACCAGGCGTCGTTCCCAGGGAGCAGCCGTCGCAAGACATTTTCAAAGCTGCTGCTATTCGACGTACTGCTAGTTACTATAGTTAGCGAGGAAGGAATGGAGCACTATTGTAGTCCCTTCACAACCCTTAGTATGGTAGTGTCTATTTTCCTTCCCGTTCCTTGATTCCCTGCTAGCTAGAGGTGAGTAAACCCTAAATTTCAATTTAGTCTTTCATTTTCTTTTCGTTTTGAATTTCCAGTATTGTGGTAATATCCACAGACCCTAAAGCCTTTGTTGTCGGCGTTGGTGTTGCGGCCACTAGTAAGGGTTGGGAGAAGCTGCGCTCAAACATATCCACAGCCAAAATAGCTCTCACAGTCAGTATTAGGCATCCCAAGGGACCATTAAGGACTGAGAGGGGATCCGTCTTGAAGTTTAGTCTAGTCCGTAACGTATTCCTTCAGGAAGGGGCCCATGGCCCATGTGCATTAAATTATGTAGGAAATATTGTAGGGAATGCTGACTGCAGCTCACATATGTAAATAAAACAGGACCTCCGAAAGCCTTGTTGAATCCTAAACCCTATGCCCTAAACCCCTACACGCTAGACCCTCAGAGGTTGTCCTGACATTTTCAGCACGGGCTGTGGGAGGGGTTCAGTGATTCAAGAAAGAGTCCGGACGAGAAAAAGAATGAAATTCTGAATGCCGCGTGAAAGAAGAAAAAGAGAAATAAGATAGTGACTTTGCGAGCCCACTCAAAGACTTCCATTTGGCTCGCTCGTAGATGATTTTTATTCGAGTTTAAAGGAGGCACTTTCTGAGTTTTTCGAGGCACTTTCTGAGTTTTTTTGATTCGTGCGCCAAGAAACAAAACTAATAACACGAGAAAAATCGTACCAATAGGGCTCAATATGATCAGTTAATTGTAAACGCTTGCGCGCGCCGCCTCGGCAGCCGGACCAGCCCACGTCCCAAGGCGTTTGTGCACCTCCGGAAAGCCCGAGACAAGCTACAGCGAATGGCCTCCAAATCGCCAAAGCAGAAGCTCTGCCTCTGTTTCGGGTTTATGTTTGGGTTGCGGCCGGGCTTGAGGATTGCGTGTGCTAGCGTCCCCCTTCCCCGCCACGGTTTCAGTTGTCCACGCTCCCAGGCCCCGCTCGAACTTGCATCGTAGACTTGACAGTCGTCTGCGAATTGTGACAGAGTCGTTGTCGCATGTACACATTTGGACAGTCCGGAAGCAAGTGTGTTTTAGATGTGTTGAATTTGCGCAGTTGCAATGCTGCAATCCGCTAGAAGCACACAAAGCTAGAGGGATTTTATTGCCATGGCGTCAGCCATCGAGCGGTTGCCATCATTGAAATATGTGGCGTGGCCGCAAGTTGGTGCTTCTCCAGTCGGTGGATTGAAGCATGGCAGCAAACTGTGTGCTGCAATTTCTCGTTTATGTCGCCAATGAGGTCAAGTTTGGAACGAGTGCGACTTGGACGAGACAGCTCGCCTGCACCGTTTAAGATCTGGCAACCCGAGGCCCAAATCCTCGAAGCCCCAACCATTTGACGGCAATATGAACCCTGTAAGGACATGATGGTGTCAGAAGTTTGCGGTGGCACCATGATGTGGGGATCTTTGAACAAAGAGGCCGGCCCCCAAACCCAACCCCCAGTACCCAAGCCCTTGAGCCCTTAACCCTGAACCCCATGCACTGCTAACCCTTCAACCCCCAAAAATGTGTGCCTCCCATGTCCCGACCAAGTTCTCAACCTTATGAGACGCCCTGATCGAACTTTAAGGTTTGGAGCTTTTGTGGCTTGTCGCCTTGTCGCGCTTTGAAGGTTGGCTTTCAGATTGGGGGCTTGTCGGAGAAGGGGGAAGTCGGGTTCAATGGCGTGTAGGATTGTGGTGCTCCACTCTTCTTCTTCGAGGCCTACTCCGGATCCTAAACCTCTCACCCGGAGTTTTGTAAACTCATTGCAGACACCGTGCGGAGAAGTTTTGCCACACGGGCTTAAAGGCTTAGAAACCTCAAAGGTTTCATTTTGGGGCCAGTCCACAAAAGAGCGCTCCAAGACAAAATTAGGAACACCGGAACACCCCCAAGACCACTGCAAGACCACTGCAAGACCACTTCAAGAGCACCAATGCCGAAGCCAACCCGACGAAAAACCCAACATGCAGGAAAGTGCGTCCCTGCCATGTTCTTCGCGACATGGAGCAAACGCAAATCGAGCGACGGGAGCGGTCGGAGCGCCATTTGGCGTCTGCCGCGATGCGTGAACCTGGCTCGTTCGCAATCTGGCACCTCGGGGCGTCCGCCCCCGCAGGGTACACCGACAAGGTCACGGACTTCTTTCTGCCCGTGAGCTTTTCGGGGGTTAACCTCTCGATTCCCTTATGCTCCCAATGTCGGACATAGTGCAAGCACCGTTTGGGGAACAATGGAACCCTCGACCCCAAGCCCCAACCCTTAAACCCTAAACAGCCGGCTCTCCCGAATTCCCCGCGCGGCCAGAACCCCTAAGCCCTCAAGCCCCACACAGCAAAAAACTTTGACAAACCTCAACCCTTAACTCAGATGCCCGAAGACCATAAAGCCCTAGGATGGCCAAGGAACTTTGAAACCTACCTAAACGTGTCCTCCATTGGCACCTCTAAACCCCAAAGGATCCGAGACATGAGACTGTCTGAAGGAGAAGATGGCCCATGATCAGCTGGATGCTCTCGTTGCGCAGCTGCCATCAGGGCATTGTTGCCACCTCCCCGAAGATCTTAACGAGCAACTTGGAGTTTGCGCCTTAAAGCCCCAAGCTGTGAACCCTGAAAGCCATCCTAAGTAACCTCAACCCTAAAATTGAGGGGGCTCCAGGGTTCAGGGTGTAGGTGGGTTTTTCAGTTCAGGGTACCTGGAGTTACAGGTTTCTGGGCTGGGGAGGCTTACCAAGGAGTTTAGTCTTTCTTCATTAGCTTAGGGGAGAAAGGTCTCGGGGTTGAGGACTTAATGGCTTCAAGGTGTAGGGTTGCGAATACGAGCCTTCGGTGCTCCTGTGATAGATCGTTTGGCTCAGAGCCGTTGGTTAAACGAGGGTACTTGGCTTAGAGGTTGTGCGATAAGAGGCTGTTCGATGGACCACCCTTGCCAACTACCACGTCAATCCGTGACGTTCAGTAACTTTCAGGGTGTTTTTTGTCCATATTCCAGCTGCGGAAGGCATGCCATGGGCGCTTTTCCTATGCACATGAGTAAGTTATACCACGAATCTTACGTAACACGCAGATGTCCATGGTGCCCCTTCTGAACCCTGATCCCCCAACCAGAACCCCTAAGACAAAGGCCGGCAGCTTGTGGCTCACGCTCCGCAGGAATTTGACAGCCTCAAGTCAAAGTTTCAACTCGGCCAATTTTAAGATCCCGTAAGCTCCACTCCAAAAACCCAAAGCAGCAGAACCCCTTTCTTCCGGCTTTCAAATCCACTGCTCAGCTGTGCCGAGGTGCGCTTGGGGGTGAACTTCCTCGACTCGGCAGAGCTGCGCCCAAGCCTGAACGAGCACGGAAGACTGGGGGAAGTGGGAGAGTCCAACCCTTGAAGTCAAAACACGAAGGCTGCAACCGATTTATTTGAACGTGACACCGTCGAATCTGTTCAGCCCAAAGCTTGCAACGCGGCATTCCTGCACATTGCACACATTCCCATACCCAAGCTCAAACCTACAAGTCTAAGCCGAAGGAAGCCGGGATTCCCAGACCACGCGGCTCTCGAACCGAGTCTCCACCTTCAGGTATCCGGTGCCGCACGCTGGCGGAAAGGTGACTGAGGAGTGGATGGGCAATTGGCTGGAGAAGGCCATCGCAGATGGCAAGGTGAAGCGGGACAAGTGGCCCGGAAGCAGAGGTGTTAAAGGTTTGTCAAGCAGTTCCGAAGCGATTTTTGGAGAGTTCGCCTGCAAAGGGTTCTGTAGGGCTTTCGGCCCGTTGGCACATACTTCATGGGAGCAACTTCGCCATCGACCATTGCACAGACTCGGACGCGGCTTCCCTGCCCCCTCCGGAAAGTTACACGCACGAAGCTTTGTAACCCCATAGAAGTAGTGTCAGGGCACTTCCTTCCCACGGGCTACTATCTACACAGAGGAGGAGAAGGAGGAGGTGGTGTAACGCATGCTGAAAGAGGTGAATGCCCCAAACTCGAAAGCTCAAAGCCCCAATCCCTTCAACTACCCTGCAACTTTAAAACCCTAGGGCCCTAAAACCCTAGACCCTGAACCCTAAAACCGCTTGAACCTTAAACCCCAAACCCTCTTGCGCGGTCCAGGCTCTACATCGCCTCCAAAGCGTGCCTTGGTGGTCGCGAGTCCAGTTGTTCTGGATTGCACATGTAACCCGAATTAGAAATGCTTTTGGGGCCGGTTGAAACCCTTTGCCCTCGGGCCCTTGGGTTTCAGGGCCGAAGGTTTGCTACGCAGGTTGCGTGGGCTCTTGTGTCGTGGCATGTAACCCTGCCCAGGAATCCCTCCAACCTCGGGGCCCCGGACATCGCAGGATTGCCGCGAGAGTTTTCGCACGGGCTGCTTAAACTCCTTTGGAAGAAGGTGGAAGTTTTTTGCGGAAACTTGAGGATACATACACATACACACACACACACATATACACATACACATACACATACACATACACATACACATACACATACACATACACATACACATACACATACACATACACACACATATACACATATACACATATACACATATACACATATACACATGTACACATATACACATATACACATATATATACACACACATATACATATACATATACATATGCATATACATATACATAGACATAGACATATACATATACACACACACACACACATATATATATATATATATATATATATATATTTACCCATACAAATGTAATCCAAACCCTTGTCATATTCAAAACCAAAACAAAACAGTAAACCAACAAGTTAAAATGACACATGTGCAATGAACAAATCCGTTTAATGTACGAAAAACAACAGCTTCCCGATTTGAAGTTAAAACGGCAAAAAATAGAATTTTTGAAGATGATACCCCGAATCTTGAAAGATTAGATCACCAGTTTTGCATTCTGATTAAGAAAATAAAGTGTGTTGTCTGTGGATATTCGGTAAGTTCCAACAGTTTTGTGTATACCTGTTGAGATCATATCCTCAGCCCGAAGCCCCCTAAACCCTGCCCATTTAGTTATTTTATTTGAGTAGGTTCTTGAGAAGGAGATGATGAACAAGCCCTGAACCCGAGACACCCGAAACCCAAGCCCTAAACACATCAATCCAAAACCCTGAACCTCTAAACCCTGAACACCTAAACCCCAAGCCCTGATCCCTGCTGTGGATATTGAGGCTGCAGTATGAGCTTTGCAGGACGAACGAAGCCCTATGGCTTCGACGCAGAGTCCCTGATGGCCTCCTGCAAGGCCAGAGCTGCTGGGGAATACTTGAAAAAGAGAGCATGTACCTTGCTTTGTCATGTGACAGGGTGTCAGGTTTAGCGGAGTTTGGGTTTATGGTATCGGGTGGAGGGGTTGTGCGGTTTAGCGGCAACGTCATTGTCATCAGCAGCAGCCACAACATCGCCAAACTGCAACCTCGCAACGGCACAGCCTTCCACCAACGGCGGTGAGACGATGCGTCCTGACTCAGGTTGGGTTTATCGCCTGTATAGCTGCGGTGGTCCTGTTCGATCTTCTCAACATTTCCCGCAGGAAGGTAGGCCTCAACCCTGACACGCTCGAACGGCCGGTCGTGGTGCGTAGGCCACCTTTGCCATGAGTGTCAAGAGAGCTCTCTCCATTTTGGGGATCGTTGCTATAGTGTTTCCAAATATTTTTTTGCTGCCCGCAGGCATCAATCGCAAGAATGAAGTGTCAGTACATCGACCTGTACTACTTGCAGCTTGGCAGGGCTTGGCAGGGCTTGGCAGGGCTTGGCAGGGCTTGGCAGGGCTTGGCTCCGGAGGTCGGTCAGTACATCTCGAACTCCCCCAGGCCGAAGTCTGCCCATTCTGCAGCCCGATGCTCCTAAACCCACGGGACCGACCAAGGCCTTCCCCAACTCTCGAGGCCCAGGCTTCAGTTGATAAACTTGGTGAACTTTTCTTGGGGTTTGCAGGGTTCAAAGGGCGTTGGGGTTTACGGGCTTTGGGGGGGCTTTGTGGGCTGCGCTCAGCGTTTCGGGGTTCAAGCGAGAGGCACTGGCCCACCCGGGACACCCCCATCTTCGGCTGCGCCTCCTTCTACGCGGAAGGCGCGGCCCAAAGAATTGGTCGAGCCCGACCGACTGGGTGCCCAAAGCCCCCCCAAACCCGAAGTCGAAACGGGACACTTAAATCATGAACCGTACTCTGTAAGAGCCCAAGCCTGAACCCTACGTCAACCCGAGACTCCATCTTCCTAAGCCCCAGCAAGCCTGAAACCAGGTCCCCTCTTCCGACCGTAGTTGCGAGTCCAATCCAGGATTCGGGGGTCTTGCGCCATTGAAGGAAGTTTGGGAGTTGAGGGTTTTGGGTTGAGTTTTTTTTGGGCTGGGGTCCCCTCTGAACTCTAAACCCTACATAATTGAATCCTAGGGCCCCAAACCCCAAACCTTAAACCCTGAACTTCCCACCAGAAACCTTCGAAGCTCCGCAGACCTCTGCATTGCAAGGGAAGGAGCGGCCGATGCCTCACTTTGACAAGGGCGGCTTGGCCAGTTCCAAGGCTTTTGGGTTTGGAGTCCGCGATCGTGGTTCGAGGTTTGGGGGTGTGGTTCTCAACAGAACAGGCGAGTTCCCCACGAAGAATTTGATGAGGACATCCGTGTCACGACCAGTGAGGTGGAAGGACCGTTTGGGAGGTCCAAGAAGTAATGTGACTTGCGATTTGCAACCCCCCTCGCAGAAATAGAGATCCATAAAGAGCCCAATTCCCGAGCTCATGAGGGAGTTCCTAAACCCAATTCACAAAAAGCAAATTCCGGAAAACAAAAATCGGGCCCCACACGAGGCCCTCAATCGAAAGGCTAGCCTCTCCAGTCAAGGATAAGACTCGAGCCCCTTGCTAAACCAAGAGGAATATGGCCGATTCAGCAGGAAAGCAGTTATCCTATAGCTTACCTTACTTGTATCCCTGCTTATAAGTGCCAATGTGAACCCTCTCCACTTCCATCCCCCAACTCCGGCTTCAAGATGCTTCAAGCTCGAGGGTTTTGGATCTGGCTGCTTTGGGCCACCACTGTTGTCACGCGTCGGCCTTCGGGTTGATGGCTTTGATCAGGGTTTAGATGCCTCGTCTTTCTATGTATTCGTGGTAAACATGTGTTTTGCTGGTTCTTGTGTTATGCTTCTGATGTTTGCTTTTTCTTTGGTGTTCTTCTGCTTGTAGGATTCTTCTTCTGCTGAAGGCTTCCTGACGAGTTTTGAATGTTGATCGATTTTTTATACCGTGTTCAGCTTAGCTCTTGTACTCGTGCTCGTATGAATTGTTCGCATGCTGTGAGCCTCAGCGGTTTTGTTCTCGTTCGGCACAGGGTTCTGAGGTTGCGGTCCGGCCTTTTGAAGAGAAGAGCGCTGAGGCACCGTAGCGGATTTTGAAGCGCAAGTGCTTGCGATCAAGACTCTACTCGATGCAGGTGCCGGGGGGGGGGGGTCTTCAAATTCACACCTCAAGAGGTTTACGAGTTAAAGGTCTCGAAATGGGGGTCGTGAAAAGCGGCAGTGTTTAAACACCAGGGGTTTCGAGACGTGCATCAACAGGGTCCTTTAAGCTTCGGAAGCAAAAACATCCACAGTCGGCCCCCTCGAAGCTCGAAGTACACCTGAAGACATGCGCGCAGCTCCTGAACCGGGCAGCTCTTCGAATTGTGAACACAAGTTGATGATTTTGAAGCCATAAACCATAAATCTTTCCCAAACCCCTTAAACCCAACCCACCTTCAGGCCTCATCAAGTATTGGGCACTCTCCAATGAGAACAACTATGGAGCCACTCGCCTGCAGTTTTGGGCTTCGCGTTCCGCGCGAGGTCACTTGGACCCCAAGCCCTAGGCTCCACACCTAGTTTGAGGGCTTTGTAAGCTCTCAGTTCTTAGCTCTTTATCAGCCAGCGACCTGGAGCTCGAGCGCCAACCCCTTGACGTGGCACAGGGTAGCCCCCAAGTGCCTCGATGCTCTTGCGGGGTTCAGTCCGAGGTTGCCATGTTCTGCATGATCTGCGACAAGCTCGGTGTGGCGCGGCCCGTGTGCGTGCAAAATGTGGCTAGGCAACATGCTGATGAGTGCTTTGCGTGCAAAATGTGGCTAGGCAACATGCTGATGAGTGCTTTGAGGTTGGTAGTTCTAGCCGGGGTCACGAGCACCAATGGCCAATCTGCGCAGAAGTTCTCACCCCCAGTAGTTCGCCGGAGCTACTACTCCCAGAGTCCCACCATAGAATTTGCATCCCAGCCTGGAGCGCCCGCCGCAAAGCCACAGAGTTTCCCTGGAGTGCACTGTCAAAGAATGCCGCAAAGAATCCTGTTCCCCGGAGTAGCCTGAAGAGACTCCCCCGATATCCCAAGCCCCCATGTGCACCTGAGGTGCTAATTTGTTGTAGGGTGGGATGCTCGAAGTGAATAGTTTTGGCTTTGGGGTTTACAGATTGGAGCTCCGAGGCATTTGGATCTATTTGATTGAAAGATTTCATTTGGGAGCTGCAAGAGACCCAAGTGGCTTAGGACTACTCGCTGGCGAATCGGACATTCGAGAGTGCGCTTCGGCAAGACTGTCTCAAGAACCGGACGGAGCTACCCGAAAACCCTCCAAAACCAAAACCGTGAACTCTAAGCCCTCTACGCTCGCAACCCCGAGTGGGAGCCGTTCTATCTCGGGGCCCCTGTTGTGGAACCTGCGGTTTAGGGTTGAGGTTGCAGTAGGATTCCTCGAAGATGCCCCTTCCAAAAAACATGAAAACCAAGACCTAGTTTAGCACAACCCGCTGTTGTAATTGTTGAAGGTGCCTCTCTTGATGGCGGGGTTTGAGTCAGCTGTTCATGGGACTTCTAGTGCTGGGTTGAAGACTTTTGACCCCTGAGCCCTTAACCCTAGTTCGGACTGTGGGGAGTTCGGGGCCGTTTCGACATTGTGAGTTCGAGAGTTGAAAGCTTTCCTCCCGAACTGCAAGGCTTGATATGCGGTCGAGTTTGAGAATCCCAGAGTTCGAAAGTTTCGAGTTGGGAGTGTCAGGTCTTAAGGCCGACATCGTGAATTCAAAAGTTGGAAGATTGGAGCTTGGGAGTTCGAAGTTCGAAGCCATGTCGAGTTTGAAAGTTTGAAATTCTACGGGTTCAACGTTTGCGAGAACATTCATTTGATGTCCGTTCGAGTTCACGAGTTTGAAACATGACGAGATTGAAAGTTTGACCACTCCGAGTTTGACAGTTTCCCGAGTTTGAACGTGTAAAGTTCAATAGTTGGAGTGGTTGAAACTTTGTAACTGTGCCGAAACACCTCTTTCGCCCTTCGCATCTCTCCTTCGCCTTGCGTCGCCTTCGTGTGCGTTTGAGAGCTTCCTGAGTTTAAACGTTTGGATTCGAAAGGTTCAAACATTCAAGGCTTCGCACGCATGCGCAGAAACATGCGCCTTAATTACATATGGCCGAGCGGAGATCCTAAAAGTGTCCAGCCACGGCACATGAACCTCAGGGCCTCCAGCTTTGAGGTCTGTAGGGTTTAGGAATTGAGGCTGTTGGGGCCTGGCCTAGCGTTTTGCGATGTTTTGCGTCTAGGCTGACTGGTTTGCAGGGTTGCGGCTTTTTGGGTTTGGGTTTTGGGGCTTTGTTTTGTCTCCCGGAAAGTGATTCTTTCCTTTGCGGGTTCCATCTTTGTTTCGTCGCGCTACTCGATGTCTTCTCTTTCAGGCCGCTGTCGAACTTTCAGTCTCGCCCTGTTACAAACTTTGAAACTGCAAAGTGTGAAGCTTCAAGCCTTCACACGCGCATTAACTCTCAAGATCTCAAACCTCCTGACCTTATCGAATGCTCGATATCTGGAGCTTTCAAACCTCAAACTTCGAATCCCTTCAAACATTCGAGCTCGAAAGCTGGCCCCCCCGCTGTGTTTGCTCTTATGCGCGTATGGTACATCTGAAAGTCTTAAAAAGGTTTCAACCTTCAGAATGCCTCCAGCTTCAAACGCTTTCAAGCTTCAAACTTTCAAACTCCGCTTGTGTCACTGTTCAAAGTTTCATTGGACCAAGCTTTCAAAGATTCAGAAATGGAAGAACTGTACTTGTGACACCTATAAAATTTTTCTGGGCCGGGGGCTTCTGGACTCTGTCGATGAACAAGCCGTTGCCCTAACCTGGCCGACGTCCTAAAACTCTGAAGCCGCCTTAAACCCTAAACCCTGAACCCTAATCCTAAACCTTAAACGGCAGCCTCTGATCTGCGCCCAAAGGATGGCTATGAGAGCTGCCACCGTTTTGGCATCGTCAGCTGCCACTACGGGGCATTAGCAGGCCAGTGTGCCTTGCAAGACACTTCGTGTGGGCTTTGCACGGTTCTGCCGTTTGTTAGTGGTTTCCATGGAAATGCGAGCGGTAGGTGTTTCTGTCGGGGCATTTGCTTCTCAAGCCGAGTTGGCAACCGTTAAACCTCTGCCAACAACTCTCCACGCTTTTCACCGACCGCAGGCGGGGTGCTTACGGGCAAGTACCTGAGAGACTCGCCGTACGCGAAGAAGGATGGGGCATAGGGTCGCAGCCTTAGGGGGTTTGTGTTTTCTGGTTCAATAGGGCAAAATCCCAAAACCCCAAAACCCAATGTCTTCGGCTCTGTAGTGCCTTGCAATACCTTAAGCCCTGAGGCTGCGGGTTAAGGTTTCTCGGGCGTTGCGTCGAGGTTCGAAGCATGACATCAATGCCAGGTGTCGGTGTACGGTTTGCAATCTAAACCCACAAGCGATAAACGCCCTAAGCCCCAAAACCGGAGAGGACCCCGGCCGCTCCCTTGCCGACTGCCGCCACAAGGCCGCGAGCAAACAGCAGCGCAGAGGTTTCACCCTTCAACCCTAAACCCTGCGTTCTTCACGCTGCACCCTTTCCTCCCGCAGGCCAAGCCAGGATTCCAGCCGCGCTACGGCTTCAAGACGACGATGCAGGCGGAGTTTGGTGGTTTGCCGGCTCTAGGGTTCTAGGTTTCGATTTCAGGAACCATCAAACCCGCAAACACAGAGGTTTAAGGTTCGAGATTTAGATTCGGAAGCTCTTGGTTGGGGCCGTGCGTCCGAGCAGCTTCCGAATTGGTTTCAGATCTTTGTTTTTGGCCTTGGTCCAGGGCTTCAACGAGATCCCGCAACGCAACAACCAGCTCAAAACACTCCTCATCCTTGAACCCCTAAACCTCAAGCTGCAAAAATCCGGAATTCCCCGAACCCCTCAAGAATGAATGGGTAAAGACTACCCTTAAGGCCTTACTTTAGCCCACAAAATCCCACAAACCATGGCCCCTTAGTCCCCATATACCTACATATGACCGCTGTGTATACTTCTGGGGGTCTCCATGTTGTCGCCAAAAAGGCCAGCGAACGCTACCAGCAGATCGCCGAGCGCCCTGGGCTGACGGCTTGAACCCTAAAAGCCTGAACCCTCATAAACCCCTCAAACCTTCAAACCCTGCCTGTGGGACCTAAACGGGGCTTGGGGTTTAGTCAGTTTAGTCTGCAGGGCTTAGAGCGTAGGCTCGAGAGGCTCGCGGCTTGAGGTTTTCTTTGGGGACCTTGCAGGGGATGTATGCAGGCTGAATGTGGATATCCGGTGCTCTGGGCACCCATTCGTGTCTGAGTCCTTGCTGGAAAGACAAAGCTTGTCTTAACTCCTCAGAGGAGTGGGGAAGCCAACTTTCTGAGCCAGTCCCCCAAACCCAAGCTCGCCCTAAACGAAACCTCAAAGTCCAAAGGGCCTGTAAAAACCTTACGTAGACCCCAAACGTTACTCCGAGGCGCATCGGCCTAACCCCCACTGAGCTGGCGCTGGCCTGGGTGCTCCCCCTGCACAGGTTGAGGGCTTCAGGGGACTTCAGCTTGAACCCCGAACTCCTTCGTTCTTGATTTCCTTACCAAGGACCGGTAGGCTCAGAACAAGGACCCCGAGCCTTCACTCTCAACCCGAAACCCCAAGGAACCCCGTAAGCCCAAAAACTCTGTGAAACCCTAAAAACCCTCAGCGCCAGGCAAAGCAAAGGCCCTTCGTGGGCTCGGTGATCATCGGCACCACGACGGTGCGCCAGGCCGGGATCTTTTCGGGCTTCAGCTCTCAGCTCTGATAGGATCATCTCATGCAACATATAAACAAAATCAAGAAATACATCATATATATATATATATATGCTACCCCCCCCCTCCAAAACCTACCGTTTTCTAATTTTCTACACTTGCGTGACACCAAAACGCTTCAAAATGGAGACCGGCTTCCTAAATCCTTTAACCTTATTCGCACAATTTTCTATTGCATAAACCCCTATTTCCGAAAAAAACGAAGCCTGTTCCCAAAATCCTGCTCGCTAAGTCCGAAAGCACGGGATCCCTACATCGTATTCCCTGAATCATATTCCCTCAGTCCCTAAATCTGGTGCGGGCGGGGGGGGGGGCGGTGGGTCACTAAATGGCTCACTAAATCTTCTCGCTAAATCCTAAAGAGCGGGGTCCCTAAATCATATTCCCATGATTTTACTCCCTAAGTCTTTTCCCAAAGCCCTAAAGAGGGAAGTCTTGAAATTCTGAAGAGGAGAGCCGCTGAATTCCAAAAGGGAATTACTACCTCCACATTTAAAGAAATATTTTTCGTCGAAAATCCGGCTGTGAGACTGCTTTCCATTACGGGGGTTTCCATATGGGGAAATACCGCCACATTGAAAGAATTGTTTCCGGGGGGGTTCAAAAATCTGTCTGCAGGCTTCGTTTTTGATTTCTGAGCTGCAGTCTGGATCGTCGAAACTACAATATATTCCTAATGTGCTTAATAGAGAATGCATACATTGCCATGGTCTCATTATTGCAGTGCCCTGCCTTTCTTACTTATTGCGGTGGGCCGGGGGTCCCACCAATTAAACAGATGCTCGGATAAAATCTTATCGGGATCCCTAGATCTGGTTCCCTGAAATTAACTCGCTAAGGCCGCCTAAAGGGGGGGGGGGGCTAAATCCTAAAGAGGAGGTCCCCTAAATCCTAAAAAGCATTCCCTTAGTTTTACTCTCTAAAATCCTATTATATAAAGAACCTTGCTCAGTAGATCTTATCGCTAAAGTCAACAAAGAAGGATCCCTCAATCTTATTCTCTTAATTTTACTCCCTAAATCCTATTGGGGAAGGGGGGGTGGGAGGGAGTCACCAAATCCTAAAGAGGGAACCTAAAAAATAGCCTTAAAACCCCAAAAATGAGACCCCCCCCCCTAACTCATACAAAAGCCCACCTTGCTCAATAAATCTTCTCGCTAACGCTAAAGCCTTAGCGATAAGGTTTGGGCTCCCTTAGAAAATAGGATTTGGGAACTAAGCTTTGGGATGCTCCCCACTTCAGCGCCTATTCCCTAAATCCTGCTCGCCAAAAAGTCCTAAAGAGCGGGATCCAATATAATGATGAAATATGTCCGATTCAAACTTGAATCGGCCGATTCAGTTTTGAATCGACCCTCAAACTAAAGATTGAAGTCGTCGTAATGTTGCAATACTCACATGCATATTCATACTGTGTATCGGCTTTATATGTATGAGTTGGCATGTAATCTGTGTACTCAATCTCCACAACACAACAAATTTGCTTATAAGGACTTAGTTTGCTTCTAATTAAAAGGGGAGAGGGTGCCAGGGGTCGGTCTTCCAAAATAAGCAGGACCAAAAAACACTCCCCACCACCCCCCTCCCCCCCCCCTCCCCTCTACTTCACTCCGCTGCGCGTTCTGCGTTTGTTTAAGGGTGTTGTCAGGCTTATTCTCCAAAACCCTATCGGTCCAGGGTTTAGGGTGTTAACGTAGGGTTAAGCAATTAAACCTCAACCCTGGACCTTTAAACACCCTATAGGGTTAAGGTTTAAAGGTTTAGGATTAAGTTTAGACATGTAAACCTTGACCTACAACTCAACGGAAACGCGAAACCTTTAACCCTTGCAGGGTTAAGGTTTAAAGGTATAGGGTTTAAGATATAGGCACTCTAAACCCCTATCGATCCAGGGTTTAGGGTTTTAAAGAAAAGCCCCGGAACCCTTAGAATGAAACAAATAATTAAGCCTAATTCTTTAACCTTTAAACCCTGTAGGGTTAACATTTAAAGGTTTAGGGTTTAAGATATAGGCATTTAAACCTTGACCTGCCAGTACACCGAAACCCTTAAACTTTATGGGTTAATTCAAGGTCTAGGGTTTAAGATATTGGTAGTTAACCCTTGACGTGCAATTAAACCGAAACCTGCAGCCTGGAAACTTTATAGGGTTAAGGTTTAAAGGCTTAGGGCTTAAGATAAATGATTTTCAACCTAAGCCTGCAATTGAACTGAAACACATAACCTTCAAACCTTATATGAGGAGTACGCGTATGCTATGGCTGGAAACTGCGCGTTTATAGCCCAAGCTGCGTGTCGAAATTGAGTCGATTCAACGCATACATACTGGAACCACTTTCAGTGGCGTAATATACAATACCGTGGCCTAGAGTTGCGTAATATATTTTTAACCATAAGAAAAAATCTTCAGGACCGGGAGTTTTAAAACTCCTTGCTTAGCCACGAGAGGAGTTTTAAAACTCCTGCCACCGAAGATTGAAGATTGTCGGGGCCAAGAGTTTTAAAACTCCTTGCTTAGCCACGAGAGGAGTTTTAAAACTCCTGCCACTGAAGATTGAAGATTGAAGATTCCCCGGAACTCTTTCCAGGAATCTTCAGTCTTCAATCTTCGGGGCCAGGAGTTTTAAAACTCCTTACTTAGCCACAAGAGGAGTTTTAAAACTCCCGGCCCCTAAGATTGAAGATTGAAGATTCCTGGAAAGAGTTCTGGGGAATCTTCAATCTTCCATCTTCGGGGCCAGGAGTTTTAAAACTCCTTGCTTAGCCACAAGAGGAGTTTTAAAACTCCCGGCCCCTAAGATTGAAGATTGAAGATTCCTGGAAAGAGTTCTGGGGAATCTTCAATCTTCAATCTTCGGGGCCAGGAGTTTTAAAACTCCTTGCTTAGCCACAAGAGGAGTTTTAAAACTCCTGGCCCAGCAGATTTTTTCGGCGTCTTTAAGTATTTGCTATTTCGTATTTTATGTATATCTATAGATATATGTCCATATATATATATATATCCGGCTTCGAATATAGTAAACACGTCTCGACATAGAAAAGGGTATGAAACGGTAGGTTTTGGGGGGGGGGGGGGGGGTACCATATATATATATGGTACCCCCCCCAGTGACCTACCCTTTTTCGCCTTGTCTCAAGTCACCCAGCTGCACTGCAAGCAAACTCGGTGTGCAACATAGCGTGTTTCCTAGGGCGTAGACGAAAATACAACTAAAATCGCATACACGGGACAGTAGAAAAACCAAAAACACCAAAACCAAAAAAACCAAAAATCCAAAACCAAAAAAACCAAAAACACCAAAACCAAAAAAACCAAAAAAACAAATTTTCCGGAACTCTTGGAGAAGCCTCATAGGGATTCCTGAGAGTTCCGGAAAATTGTTGTTTTTGGTTCTTTTGTTTTTTTTTGGTTTTGGTTTGTTTGGTTTTTTTTGTTTTGTTTTTTTTGGTTTTTTTGGTTTTGGTATTTTTGGTTTTTTTGGTTTTGGTATTTTGGCTTTTTGGTTCGCCTTCACGGTCACGAAGCAACAACTACGCATTTTTAAGTGTGCTTATGCTAATTGTGCTTTTCAGGAATAGTATACAAGTGGTCTTTCTAGTGCTTCAGAACTATTTGTTTCCTTATTATGTAAGTAGAACCGCTTCGCTTCTTTTTCAACTAGTGTTTGGTGCATCTTTTGGTTGTACTCAAGTGTAGCAGACCTTATTCAGCCATTACTTGGTGCTCTGGTAGCTAAATTCGCATGGATACTAGTTGCCTGGTAAAAGCGATTAATTATCTAGAAGCAGCATTTGCAATACTTGTCTTGAGAAAAAGCATTTATTGCTTAAAATTGTTTGCTTAAAAAGTAGCTTGCGCTTTTGGATGTTTTTTTGTATTTGTGAATTTGCTTGTGTATGGCCTTCACTAAGTACTTTTCTAGGATTCTTGTGCGTTTTTTAGGCCTGATTGTGCAAGTTGTGTTTTTCAAACATAGTATATAAGTGGTCTTTCTTCAATACTTCAGACATCTTTGTTTCATCGTTATGTAAGTAGAACCGCTTCTATTTCCATTGTTGTGCATTTTTAAGCTTGCTTATGCAAATTGTGCTTTTCAGACATGGTATATAAGCGGTCTTTATTGAATACTTCTGCAATCTTTGTTTCATTGTTATGTAGGTAGAACCGCTTCCATTTCCGTTAGTGTTTATTTCGTATTTGGTTGAGTATGGTCCTTTAAATAGTATTCACTTGAGTCAAATTGGGCTATTTGCTTAAGAATTGCTCTAGTAGTTACATTCGCATAGAACGAATATTTCAAAAAACATGTTTCATGAATATGTAAACATAAGGTATTTCAGTGGACTTTGCAGATAGTATTTCAATAATACTCTGCCTGGTATAGACACAACTGTTTCAATGCATTAGTTGCTCAACAAAACATTAATTGCCCTTTGAACGCACAATTTGCATAGAAAAAGCACAGATTTAGACATCTAAAAACAGCATTGTCCGCTTCAGATTCAAAATGCAGATTAATCCAATGCTGGCTTATCGGGGTCTGTGATGGGTGTCCCAGTAACTGTCCTTCATGACCCGGTGATTAACTACGCGGCTTTGGGCCTTCGTTGTTGTTTTTGTTAAAAAGGCCTAAAAAGGCCTAAAAAGGGTAGGTCGCTGGGGGGGGGGGGTAGCATATATATATATATATATGTGTATATCCGAAGACTCAAGTATGTGCACTTGTGTTTCTTATAGACATGTTTCATATTCAGGTTCACATTTTACACGTATATGTATACGTCCAACGGTATAGGTTTGCTACGTGCGTATTTATACGTATACGTTTTAAGCTCTTTTCCATTTCACGCAACACGGTATCACATAATTGGTATTGGCAGTGACGAGGACGTTGATTTGTATACGTTTTTCAGACTCATATCACATTATAGTGAATTCGGTTTCCCTTGTAGAGTTGGCTTCAGAGCTTAAGGTTTTACTAGTATGGTGGTGTAGATTCTTTTTGGCTGTCTGGGGTTCTAGAGTGTGTTTGCTCGTCTTGAGGGCTTGATGGCATCGTCATTCTGAGCTTCTGCAGTTCAAGCATAGCATTGTTTAGGTTTGTTGCGCCGTTTCCTTTTTTCACGAGCCTACCGTTCTAATTGACCAGGCACCTATAGTATGGATGTTGCAACTTGTGTCGTGTGCCGCAATCGGCGATTGGGTGGTTGTTTGGTGCGAGAAATTGCGGTATGCATAGTTTGTTACTGTCAGCATTAGAAGTCTGAAGCTTCGCGTAGTTGAGGTTTGGGAGGCCACTCATAGCCCCCGAGTTTCTAGAACACTACCAGGTTCTTGCTCTTGCTTTCAGGGCTTGAGGCTGACGGTGTGGCATTCTGAGCTTGAGGTCGGGGGTTGTCACGTATGCGGCTTCGGGCATCTCTAAGCTTTCAGGAATATGCGCAGAGCAGGTGCTGTGGGCTTTGCCGGTTCCGGTGGAGCCCTTCCAAGAGCACGGGGCCTGTCGGGTCGATTGAGTTTTGGGACGCAAATCATGGACAGGTGGAGGAGTGCGTGGGCGCCTTTCTCATCAAGGCACGTGCTGCTTGGGTTCGAGATCGAGCGCCCATTGCGGAAGTATCCGCCCAGGGCTCCTGTAAGGGATTACATTGGGTGAACCCCTAGAGTACGGTACACCTAATTCTTGGCAACGGTTTTTCAGCACAGCCATCCTGCTAAGCTGCAATTGGACATGTTTAAGCTCTCAGGTGTAGAGTTGTGTAGGTTTCTTTCCGTGGTCCAACTGTCAGACTTCCTGTGCAGCAGAAGGAAATTCCACTTTCCAGAGAGGACCTTGATCTTAACGGAGCCCTCAAAACGTCACCATGTCCCTGACAAACCCCACCAGCCCGCTCGTCGCCAGGAGCTCCCTGCTGAGGTGATGAAGGAGATTGACGAAATCCACGAGGCATCATATGGCCTCATGCTTTTGCTTGCGGCTTCGGAAGTTTCAAAGAGCTTCTGAGCTCTTCTTTTCTTCAGTGCGCGGAGGGTAAGACCTGGGATATAGCTTCTTCGTTGAAATGAATTCAACCCTTCGCCCGAGTGTCGTTTTCGGGTCAGTATGCTCTAACCCATTCTCAGCCCCACGTTCAACAAGCCAGATCCCAACACCTTTGCAAATCTCTTCAGAGAATGCGGCTGCAGACCTCCCAACTAAAGAAAATCCGTCCAGCTTTCCTTGCATGCTCACCAGCAACATGGTGGAGAGGGGGGGGGGTGCGGGGTTGTTCGAAATTTACGTCCCTTTTGGGCAAGCCATCTGAACGAGAAACCCGAAACCTTAATACCCCAACTTGAGCCCACATTTTGAAGAGAATTTCCCCCACCTTCTTGGTGTCTATCACATACCCTGAAGAGTTTCGGGGCTATTGTGGGGGGGAGTTTGAGGGTTGAAGGGTGCCCGCACGTTCGCGTGGCGTTGACGGGGGCCTCGGCCAGGAGCGGCCCAACCCGTCCATGCACTACACGTGCAAGGACTGTTCGGAAGGTACACTTTTGATTTAGGGTTCAGGGTTTTGGTATATTTTCTCTTGTTTCTTCCTGGTTTCAAGAGACTCTCTGGCAGGTCGCTCAGGTCCTTTCAGCAGCTCTGATGTTTGATTCGGGCAAGTTGTAGCTTTCTTTTTGAGCCTCTGTGGCATAGCCCGTGCAGTAAGAGGGTGCCCAAATGGCCCCATCATGGCCCGGCCCCATCATGGCCCAGCATGTGTATCATATCGACCCCAACGTGGTTCAACCTGTGCTTGATTCGGTCTTAGGCTAGACAGGTTTGAGGGCTATGCACCTTCCGCATGCCCTTAAACCCTAAACGCTCGGGTCTCGGGTTCAGGGGTTTAAGTGTACGTGTTTTTGGGTTTGGGGTCAGGGGTGTTCAGGGTGTTCATGCGCAGAGCTCGTGGGTGAAAGGGTGCTTCGCCCCGGCTGCGGAAGGCACCTGGCACAGGCTAGATCTGTTCATTGGTTAAAAGATTGGTTGGGGAGTTGCTTCCAGTTTGGAAGGAGAACGTCCCCAACCCGAAACCCTGGAACCCAAAGCTCGAAAACCCTAAAGCACCACACTCCTAAAGCAGTAAGCTCGGTAAACGTTTGCACCTTTCAACCCCGTAGAACTTGATTTATTTTCTAAGCCTGTGATCCCATGCCTTGGTTGTGGGTTTTTCGGGCCTCTGATGTAGGGTTTGGCCCCCTCGGGTTTAGGGTTTAGAGTTTATGGTTTAGAGCTACGCCGTCAAGCACACATGACATGCGCCGTCCGCGGCAAGAACTTTCGGACTGTGTGGGCTGCCCTCGGCGACCGCGTCGCTTGCTGGCCAGAGCGAGCTACTGCCGACGAGGGTTGGATGGCCAAGCTGTTTCTCTTCGTGCGACATTGGAAACCATCAATTTGATGGCTTTGTCAACCTTAAGCCCAAAACAAGCCCTTAACCCCAAACCCCTCAGCCCTAAGCCCTGAATCGTCAACCCTCAGCCACCCCAGCCGCGCAATGCCAGGACATCTTGGAGGAAGCGAAGTGGCTCGGCCCCGGCGCAGTGAAGGCGTGTGACGCCTAGGCTCCTGGCATGGGCCTGGGCTTCAGAGGTTCCGCAAATACCTGAGTTAAATCCCCTCAACCCCTCAACCTTAAACTGAAACTCACGGCCAAACTCACGGCGCTAGAGGCGGTGGAGGCGCTGGAGGTTTCTCAGCCATGATGGTACAGGATTCTGAGACTCCGGTCGGAGGGCTGTCCTTTCGGCCCTGACCCTAACCCTGAGCTGTAAGCACCGAAACCCCCCAGGCCCACGGTTCGCAACCTGCTAAGCTGAAGTCTGAAGCCGCGAAAGCACCTACCCCGAAGACCAACCGAAGGTGCACTCTAGCAGCTGTAGCGCCTTCCGATGGTGGTCCTAGGGTTTAAGATTAAGGTACTTAGGGTGTTTTGTGCGAATTCAGCCCATGTCCGAACGTGTGCCAGCCAAGCGGCGTGATGAGGAGTGAAGAGTGGGGCTGGTTTAGGCTTTGGGGTTTCAGGTTTAGTGTAGATGCCAATGCCAGGGGATTCCTCAGAATACATTCTCCTCCAATCGTACATCACTTCAAAAAGCCCTGCTAGCCACGGCTTTGAAGACCACTATACTAGCCAAAGCGGTTGCAGTGTGCAGCCGCTTTTAGCACTTCTTGTACTTCGGATGGGGTTCTTGTGGGTGTTGTCAGACGTCGGAATGTAAAACTGCTCGCAGCATCTTCTGCTACTGCAGCTGCCGTTGCGACAAGACTACCAAGCATCTTCTGCTACTGCAGCTGCTGTTGCGACAATACTACCGTGTTGTCATTTAGATTTGTCCATAGTTATCTTGCTAAGGTCACACCCCCGCCACTGGGATCATACTTCCAAGTGCAAGAAGGACTTGCTACTTACAGTATTGCGTCCCGAGCTGTAGCATGCACTACTAAGGCGTTCATGCTAAAATTTATCTGCTGCTGCGGCTCTACCACTGACATCATCACTGACTGCAACTGCCACCATTCACACGATTGTCTGCGATGCTAATGCGTGCCTCACTTCAAACCTCTGCGCTGCTGTGTGCCGGCGGGAGGGGTGGTACGCGGATCTCGGAAAGCCGAGGCCCAGCGAAAGCTCTCAGCTGGGGTGTCTCATCGGGTTTGCTGCAGTCTCCTTAGGGATGCTTTGTTTGCGTAGGTGAGGTGCAAAGGGCTAATGGTTGCTTGTGGTTCTACGAGATAGCTTCAAAACGTTTCGTGAAGGTTTGAGGGCTCCTCCGCAAAGTGTTTTGTTTGTTCCTTTGTTCCGCACCCGGGGTTTTCGGCACGCAGATTCTGACCCATGCTTTAGCTCAACCTGGAGCCCAAACCCCAATCTTCTGATTTGGTTCAAGTGTGCACTCAGGAGTTCGGATTCTGTTTAACTGCCTTTAGAGTTTTGACAAAAGACGTAGGTTTCAGGGGATTACCAAGCCCTGAATTTGCGAGTTGTAGTCTCAGAAAGGGGGTTTTGAGAAGGGTTGGTGGTTCAGGATTCCAGCAGAGACCGCGGTCCGGCTGGCAGATGCTGCGCAATTTTCCTTCAGGTGGGCGGTGCCCAGATCGGTTGCAGCAAAAGGCCGTCGTTGGGATTCCTGCAGCCAAAGCCAAGATTCTGCGACGTAGTGCCATATCCGGAACCCTGGCCCACAAACTTTACCCAGCTCCCGAAAGCAAAGTAGAGTTGAAAGTAAGGTGGCCTAGGCGATTAACCTCTTCAGAGTACTTGTACCTCCCAGCTGAACATCCCGAACCTTCAGGACCACCTGGGAAAGTACCTCTCTAAAATTCGGTGAACGCTGAATCCTAAACCTCCGCAGCGTTTGGGCTCAACGCAGCCCTGTGTGGAAGGAGCGGAAGGGCCTGGATCCTAGCCACCCGGGCTCGAAGCGAGTTTCGGGTTTAGGGCTTAGGGCAAAATCCTGTGAAAAGTATATTCCCTAAAGTGTGGGGGTCATAAAGGGTGCATCATGTAGATCAACCAGCATTCGGGGTTTAAAGCTTCGGGTTCCTAAATGTCCTTACAAGGAGCTTTTGCAGCTATGGGGCCATGGGTATGTAAGGAGGCTTCTAGGAGGATTTTGCATTCAATCTTGGCCTTTTGGGGGGACTTTGTGATCACACTTCAAGTGGCCCTACCCCTGAAGCTCAAAACCCGACAAGGGGCGCTGATCTCAATTGCGGGCCCTTTTGCGCAGGATGAGGTTGGCTCCTGTGCTTGTAGGGTTTAGGGTGTAGCGCTTGGAAAGAGGTGTTTGGTTCAGCGTTCGCTCAACCTGAATCCATGCCTTTAGAGTAAGAGTATGGATCCTGGGCTTTAAAATGTGTCTGTTGCAACCGCAAGAGTTTTTTCTTGACAACAAGATCAAGCCCACAAGCCCGCGCACTCCCGTAAACCCTATGCTAGCATCCCCGAAGCTCCAAGCAGAGGCCTACTACCTACAAGTTTCCCCTGAACCTTGCTGAGCTCTGAATCTGAAGTGGGACTCTGGTTTACATCATCAGAATGGTCGCCTTGAGGCTGGGAGCGAGATGGCAGCGATGCGGCGTTCTTGCGCGAGCGCGCTGGCGCTGGGGCCTCCCAGCAGCAAGTATCCTCTGTTGCAGTATCTTCGCCCTAGCATGTTCCGGCACATGTTCAGTTTTTGCGGCCTCGCTGGGTCTCTAAATTATGGTTCGGGGCCCTGGCCCCTCTTTCAAGTGTAGGGATGTCTAGTTTTAACCCAGCTCGTCGAGGTTTTTTTGTACTGGTTGCCCGAGTCACCGCCCTGGAGTATGAACCCTTTTTGAGAATCCCTGGAGAGCCCGAAACCCAAGGATCCCACAAGAAATCCTGCAGAGCATCCCTGTGAGTGTCCCTCCCATCACCCTCGAGGCACTCCTGGGAGTGCTTTGGATCCCAGGTAATCCCTACGGTGCCGTCACATCGGGTTGCGGAGTGTTCGAAGTAAGCCAGAAGTAATGTCAATTGCTGTCTATTTTGTTCTTGTGCGTATGGGTCCTGTGCCCTGGCCAGCTGCCTTGCGGCCCAAAATGCCCAAAAACCCTTGCAATCCCTGCAAACCCCCAAACCGTTAAAAAGGTCTTCTTGGTCGAACTATTTCGATAATGATGCTGATTATGATTGTTGTATTTTGGTGGACGATTAGTGTGTCATCATGATTCTTGCTGTGTCAAGTCTTGCTGTTGGGTGAAGCTCTTTGTTGTCTGGTCAGTGTCTTGGTGTGGGGTTCGAGATGACGTGCCGGACGCCGACAAGAAACCCACTTGCAGTTCAAAGGCTGCAAGAGCCCATTACAATTCCGAGGCTCTGTCTGCTGGCGTCTTGGCAAGCAATGAAGGCGTGCCGTGTGCCCGATTGCTGTGTCGCTGAGTTTAAGGCTGGCAGGGCTGAAGTGTGCACTGCTGCATGGTGCAGTTAGTTCAACCCCGCCTGTAAATAACGCTGAGCCCGAAACCCAAATTCCCTAACCCCGCATAAAGCCAAAGCCCCGCACCTGTTGAGTAGTTGGGCGGCCTAAACCTGCAAACCCCAAACCCCCGAGTTCGCCTCCGCCTAAGGTCTTGCGCTCGGTCGCTTTCATTACGGCCCCAGCGGTGGGGGTGCTGCGGCTGCGCGCGGCGCAGGCCTCTTTCCGGGGGTTTCAGGGTCCATGCGTAAGGGGGTAGGCCTAGGGGCTCAAAAATTGAGAGCTCACGGTTCAGGGGTTATCAGGGGTGTGGGTGTTAAAGGGTTTGAAGGCAAGGATCTAGATGGATATTCAATGGGAACCCTGCTTTGAGGCGGCTCAGGAGACTGGACCTTCTCTTGGCTTCGGGCTTAGGGGTTTGGGTTTTCATGTGTTTCTGACGTACCCGCGCCTCAAACCCTCAACCCGTACTTTATTAAACCCAAACCCTACAAGCCTGAACCCGTCACCCTTGAACATGTTGGACTTTGGACCGGAACTTGGGTCTCGCCTGTCTGGCTAAACCTCCCCCAGACCCCCGAACCCCCCCGAACCCCCCTGAATCCCCTTCCTTTCTGAGGCCGGGGCTGCTGGCGCCGCGGCCCTAGCAGCGCCACTGCCGGCCCAAGCTATAGAAGGACTCCCCCACTGGGTTGTTCGAATATTGATAAGAGCAAAAAGAGCAGTATGCGCAACGAGCACAATAAAGAGCAGCCAAAGTGACTGGAATCGCAGTATACATCATCTTAGTAGCACGCATATCAGCATCAGCCAAGCAGAGCACTAGTAGTACTCTTAGCAGTAAGCTTAACCTTAGTTACTACTCACAGCAAGCTTTTTTGACCTTCGGCCTCCAAAGCCTTAGCAGGAGTCTCCACGTTTGAGTTCGTCTTCGGTATCATCAGAACCTCGGCTTGTGTGGGTGCAGGGGGGGTGCGGTGCTTCATACCCCAGAGTCGCAAAGCCTCAGACCCGAAGCTCCGAACCCCTAAGCCCCAAACCTCTTTTCTGCTCTCGATAAGGTTTGGGGGTATTGGGGTGGGTTTCAAGGAAGGGCTGAGCCATTGCTGTCAAGAGAGTCATTGCTTCACTCGTAAAAGCCGGAATTCTGATAACCTTTCGGCCACGCAGGGTTGTCAGGAGCAAAGTGTCTCGCCGCATTCAGCCCCTAAGCCTGAAACCCTAAACTCCGCCAAGCTCCGCCAAGCTCTCGCCTTGCACTGGAGGCCTCGTCTTTTTGATCGCGGTCGTTGCGTCAGACTACCTCAAGGACGACTAGGCCCTACGTAAACCCTAAACTAAAGCCTAAACCCTAAGCCCTAAGCCCTAAGCCCTAAGCCCTACACCCTAAACTCAGCTTGAGGCCTGGAACCCGACATGCTGCTCTGGCAAGGCGGCCACCTCGTGGCGGCTGGCAGGCCCAAAGATGCAGCCGGCGTACGAAAAGAAAGTCGAGGCTTTTTTGGGGTGTAGGGTTTTTTAAGTTGAGAGTTTAACGATTCATGCATGGTTTGGCGTAGGTTCTTTTGGGGTTTACATAGGGCCCATTTAGAATCTTCACAATCTTTAAGAGACTCTGA